TTCCCAGTCTCTTGCTTCTCTCAAATTTTCTCTTCTCCCCAAAAATGCTGAAAAAAATTATTTCCTAGAATCTCCCATGGTAATTTTTCAGTGACAAAAAAGTGCTCAGAATTAAGGAATTTAATCAATGGAATCCTGTACTTCTGAAATTCTATCTTCTTGCAATTTTTCTCCAAGCCTGAAACATACTTGAGTAATTTTGTTCCTCCTGAGCAAATGAAATAGTTCATAGTACAAACTGGAGCATGAAGTCCCCTTTGAAGTATTCCAAAGGGATTTAACACAGGAATCAACTTGTTTAGGGAAATTTTGTATAGGCAAAGATCCTCAAAATGATATGCTGGAACAAGCCCTACTTTACCAATTTGCACAGGTGGAGATTTTTCAGGACAGGATTTTTCATGTAACAATAGAAAGAGGATGAAGGAATCAATTTTCTTTGGGTGCTAACTTTATTTACAAATAAAGATATATGCTGTCTCTATTTGTAAATAAATAATAAATTGGATATGAATCCAATGATCAAAGATTGATTAAAATATCATTAATTTTGAAGTCTCATCTTCTTCATTACCATGTCCTAGCAAAGAATGTCAGTTTGTTTTGTCAGATGCATACTATATTTACCACGGAAGAAAATCAGAACATTATTTAAAAGAAAGAGCCATGGGAGAAAGCACATAAATGCCACTTATCTAAATGCCCCATGCACTAAAGTTTCTCAATGGGATTCAGATACACAATGAACAGGATATTTATTTATTTAATAAACACTTTTTATACCATCCTATCACAAAAAGATGGTACTACAATAAGAAGCACAACATCATCAATCTTCAGATAAACCCCAATTAAAACAATAATTAAGACTTCAAATGTTGGAAAATAAAAAGGTTTTGGCCTGATGCCAAAAGAAATAAAGTGTCAATGCCAGGTGCACCTCTCTAAAAAGCATGTAGAAGCAAAAAATAAAAAAGTATCCATAACTGGGGCACCACCACAGAGAAGACCCTTCTCACAGTAGCCACTCCTCTGATATAGATATGGAATCAGATATCCTTCTAACAAAATACTATGCTAACAATATATTGGGCTCTCAAAATATTTGCTGAAATGGGAATATATGTTAATACATGGCTATTATGACACCAAGACTCCAATTAACATATTTTATTTACTTGCACTCTGGTAACTATTTGGATTTTAAATTACTGAACTAATATGTTAGGCAGTTCAGTTCCCGAGAATCTTGCCATTCTATATGGAATGCTGTGGACTGGGGGATGTCCAGGGATCAGAATAAATTCCTTTTAAGGACTCTGCTAACAACTGAATGTTTAATATTGATGTCATTTGATGGCCATAAAGTAAAACAGAAGAAAACAAACAAACAAAAAATAACATCTGGACATAAGCAAATAAAGTAGGGCATGCCTAACAGCACCAATTTATATATGAGAACACAAAACAAAGTGTAGGATGGCAGTCTAAATTAGTACCACATGCCAAGATACTGTTCTAGTGATATGAACCCTTAGCCATTTTTAAACAAATGGAGACAATATCTGGAACTGTATAAAATATAATTAGAGGATTAGGATTATATTAGTGCCATTTAGCATTTCACTCATTCACCCCCTTTTAAAGAATGAGTCTTATTCTTCTGGTTGGCTGTTATGTTTAGTGTAGGGAAGGCTATTAAAAATCAGCTTAGTCCACGTACTGCACAGAGGGGTGTTAATATGCTATATTTTTTCCTGATCTGTTGTGAATTAGGGAAATATTTTAAAAGAGAGAAAAGAAAAATGCCTTAATAAAAAGGGTTTTTTAAAATTAATCTCACCATGTCCCTAAGAATTTTCCTCCCCCTCCAAAAAAATTATTCAGTTGATCTTAAAGTTATTTGAATGGGTTCTATGTACTAAAAATATATGGTAGGCACAAAAGTGACCAAGATTACCCTTACTACGAATTAATCAAGGGTGCAATCCTATGTATCAGACAGAAAAAGACCTTCAATTCTCAGTATACCCAGCCTTTGTTTGTGTCTAAAGTCCGTAAGATTGCATCTTAGAGCATTTGCCATCCTAGGAAAAATAGCTCAAATGCAAGTTGATAAATGGCATAACATCTATGTGGGAAAGGAAACACAATGCATTCTGATAAGGGAGCAACATTCATTCAGAATGAATTCATACCCTGTAAACCTTCTACAGCTGAAAGCAATGAGGATTTGTTTTCAAACTCTTTGTGTGCTCTTCTTTGCCTGCTAAGTTCATTTACAAAAGAGTAGCCTATCCTCTGCCCACTCTTGAAGCAAGCATATGTATAGCCTGACTACAAGTCTTATTTTTAAAAACTTTAAATTAATGTTTAGCATGCTTATGGTCAATGTTCATGTCCGACTGTAAAGAGTGGGACCAATTTTTACATTCATTCTTCATTCTTACTGTTGCTTACCTTAATATTAACCTGGACATTATGTCAGCAGTTCCCCAGGTGCTTCTTGGTAAGACATTTATTGTGTAATCACGCAGCCCCTTCTGTGTGTAACTACCTGTGTTATCCAACCATTTTTTTCATCTTGTTCCATACTAGGAAAAAAAAGTCATAGAATCACAGAAAAGAGTTGGAAATGGCCTAGAAGGCCATTGGGTCCAACCCCCTGCTAATGCAGGACACCACGTTACACCATCTCACTCAGATGGCTGTCCAGTTGCATCCTGAATGCCTTTACTGAGAGAAAGCCCACAACTTCCCTGGGTAATTGGTTCCACTGTCATACTGCTCCAACAGTCAGGACATTTTTCCTGGTATCTAGTCAGAATCTGGTTTCCTGTTGTTACCAATTGCAGCACCCCAAAACACCCCAAAAGTAATTGGCCAGAGGAAGGCCAAATAGTAAAAACACCACAGTTATACTGTCCCAGAAGGGAGGGCAGATATGAACAAAATGAACTTTGTGTAACGCACAGCTAACACGCTAGCCTGAAACTGGTTCTTGCCACCATGAAAGTTGCAAATGTGCAGGGATTAAGAACATGGCAAGCCTGTGTGAATCTCGAGCAGGTAAGAAATAGACATGGGATATGTCTGGTCCTTGACAGAAGATTCTTTCTCCAGCATGGGAGGGGGTGCATACATTGATGTATCGATATATTAGATGTGTATTAGGTGACCTAATTGGTTACCTAGGGAATAAAACGCATGTACTGTGGTGCAACTTTTGAGACACTGCTTTGGGCTGAATGTCCCCTTTTGTCTCCCTTTATTCTATAGTGCACTAGAATAAAGCTGATTTTGGCTCTAAGTCTCGTCTCAGGCTCTGTTTGGCTCGGGTTTGGGCTCCACCTGGGTTTGCCCCAGCTGTTGACTGGCTCAGTCCAGTAACACTGTAACAAGTATGTAATTCCCTGTCCTGTACTCTGGAATGATTGAGAAGACATCTTGTCCTTCCTCTTTTTGACAGCCTTTCAAATACTCATGCTACTGTATCTCCCCGCAGTCTTCTCAAGGCTGAATATGCCCAGTTTTTTCAATCCCTCCTCATAGAACTTTGTTTCCAGTCCCTTGGTCATCTTCGTTGCCCTCCTCTGAACTTTTTCCAGCTTGTCTGCCTCTTTCTTAAACTGGGTTGCCCAGAATTGGGTGCAGCACTTCAGATGAGGCCTAACTAGTGCTGAGTAAGGGGAACTAGTACTTCACATGATTTGGAAGTGACATTCCTATTAATGCAGCCTAATATAACATCTGCCTCTTTTGCGACTACCTTATTTGCTGGCTCACATTTAGCTTGTGATCTACGACAATACTTTGAGGAAAAGATGGGAAAGCTGCACGATGTCTTTTGATAGGTAGCATGAGAAGTCTTATGACCCTTGAAGGAAGCAAGGCAGAGTTAGAGGAGGCAGCGAAAGCCACGAAGCACACCATTGTCTCCTCCATCGCCTAAGTGCCATCGCCTCCCGTTTGCCACCGGAGGCAACTGCCTGGCCTTGCCTAACGCAGCGTCAACCCTTCGCGGAAAGCGCAATCTCTTGAGCTGCGCTGCTCCCTGGGGACTCTCCTGAGACGAGACAGCTTGCTGAGCAAAGACTGGGAGGGGGGGCGCGGGAGGGAAAAGCCCCGCCCCCAAATTCTGAGGTGAGTGTAGGGTTCAAAACGGATGATCCGCAAACCCAGCCATGTCTGAACAGACACCCCCGTCCATGAAAGCGGCAGGAACGAACGAAGCACTCAGGTGTCTCTGCGTTTGGGTGTCTGTACATGCGCAGGAAACCGACGCTCCACCGAACAACACGTTCTTCGCGCAGCGACCACGCCGAGGGTCCTCTTTGAAGGCCGCCAGCGCCCCCTGCAGGCCGCGGGAGGAACCGCCCCCTGCGCCGCAGGGAGAGTTTCGGAAGCTCCCGCTTCCATAGAGCTGCCATAGAGCCCGAGTGGTAGAAGGGCACTCACTTCCGCTCCTTCTTCTCTCCTCCGTTCTTGCCGCTTCCTGGAAGAGAAGGGTAGGCGGGGCATGCTGTGCCGAGCTGCGTTTGGATTGGCCCGTGTGACTGACATCGCGTGCTCCCTCCCCCCGGCCTCTCACGTTCCGGAGATTTCAGTGGCGCTGCGGAGCCTGCCAGCCGTGCTGCTTAGCGCTGCTCCCCATCCGGCTCAGGGGCGAAGAGGGGCAGGCGGTGGTGCGGCCGCAGCCGCCGGGCTCTCGCGGAGGCGGTGGAGATGCGGCTGGACCGGTGAGCGCGGAAGGCTGAGAGGTAACGTGCGCCTCTCCCGCCGCAATCTCCCCTTTCCCTTCCTCCTCCCCCCCGCCCCCAGCAGTCCGTGCCCCGAACGCCTCTTCCTTCCCTCTATGTCCCCGGCACCAAGGCGGAACACGCACACACGGTTAGGGAGATCTGGGTGGTTCCTGCATTGGGGTGGCAGTATCATCTTTCCTGAGACGTCCCGGCAGTGAAATCTTTCCCTCGATTTCAGAAGTGACATTTCACACGTGACGCTGAACGCGCCTCTTTGTGTGAGGCACGTGTGGATGTTGTTCACGCGGACTGGCAAGCACGGGGAAGCGGCTCCTTGCAGTCGTTGATGTCTTCCATCCAAAGTAGGGCATGCACAACACGTTGTGGACCATGTGTGAAAAATACCTTTGGTCAGTTTTAGATGTTAGTGGCTCAGAGGTCCTCTTGTGCTGTTTGTGCCATGTGTGGATGCTGCTAAGGAAGGGCAGAATTCAGAAGTGATCCTCTTTTAAAGTTTAAAGTAAGTTGGAACTGATGCAGATGTCTATATTTGCATGTTATGGTTGGTTTAAGTGACAGGTGCGAAACACCCTTTAAATTGGTTTGCAATGTTAAATATAAATCTCACAGGGACTAGAATATACATTTTATTCAAGAATAGCTTTCTTGTGGCTTTTATCTTGCATTTATGCCATTCTCAGGGGAATATGCAAATAGCCCAATGGAGATTCAAATGTGCCGAAGTTTCCAGTCTGAAAATGCACTTGAAATGTTTTGTCTCATGATAATGCTTGTACACATGCTTAGATGGAAAAGTTTAGTTCCATAAGTCCTGGTATATGGCAAAGGAACAGTTGGAGTTGTAGGACTTTTTTCTGTCCAGACATGCAAAAGATTATGCCCTAAGTGATGCATTCCAAATTAAAATGGAGAGGGAGCATTCCTTACTTTATTGCTGTAACAGCACTGCATACCTTGAAATATGTGTATGACCTGTAAACTGTTTGATCCACTTTTATCAGTCATTTTCTTGGTGCATTTATAATGCAGAATTTACCGAGATTGCTGATTTCTTCCCCTTTTCCCAGGCCAAAATATCTGTATTGTCTTCCATCATCTGCCTGCCACTATCCCCTTTCTTCTTTGCATGGACCATTGCATGATATAAGAGTATATGGAAGGCTGTATTATAATTTGTTATTATTACATTGTATTTCTATCCCACCTTCTTTTTTTCTTGTGAGAAACTCAAGGTGGCTTACATAGCTCCATTTTATCCTCACAACTAGAACAACAACCCTGTAAGGCACATTAGGCTATGAGTGAGTGACTGGGCCAAAGTTGTCCAGTGAGCCTCATGACCAAGCTAGGACTAGGACCTACATCTCCCAGGTCCCCAGTCCTGCACTCAAACCACTACACCAGCATTGAGTAACATAAAGGGTTCCTGAATCTACTGACTGTAGAGGTTTAGTTGGTGGTTAGGCTCAATATACTATTATTCTCCAGGTAGATCTCAATTCTGATATTGAAGCAATAAGGCCATATTTCACTCTCACAATAAAAATGTTTGCTGTATGGTAGTTAAACAAATGTGCATGTGTGTGCGTACAGACATTTAAATAAGCCCTAGACTTACAGTACAATTCTGCTTAAGTTTATTCGGGAGCAAATTCAGATTTTTAAATAGGCATTTGTAGGATCAAGCTCTAAATTCTTTCTTGATCATTCTGTTCAGTTTATTTGATATTAGCACAATTTCAAGTGAGTCTGTGATTAAATGTCGAGGTCTCAAGTGCCAGGGATGCCTTGTTTACACATATATACAGCATAGAATGGGGAGAGATAAGAGCTAAAGAACAGCTGGAAGTGTGAGACAGGCACACCTCCTCCTCCCTTGGAGTTGACTGCCAGAGGGCTCAAACTTACTGAATGGTAATCTGGCAGTTGCTGATAGGCTACAGTGAAAGAGGTGTGTCTTAAGCACTCAGGTCAGATTGCTGCAGAACAGGTAAGATTGCTGCAGATAACTATTTGACATCAAAGATGAATACGTTACTTTCCTGAACCCCTATAGCTCATGTAACTTTTTACCACCTTTTAAGAGGTACCTTTTACTACCTTGCTGTTTTACTGCCTGCCAGTTGCTTTGCTTATTAATGCAAATAGCTATATTAGAAAGGGGAAAAAGTGTTTATGTTTGGTGGAAACAGAAAGATTACAGCCCAGTCTTATCTTCTGTTGCCATTGCAGGATGGCAGCCATGGCAGCCTTTTCTCTTGAACTGAAATTGGCCTTTCAAACTTTCCCTGCTCTACTTTCTAGGTGGCTCAAGCTTTCACTAGGAAAACCAAACCATGACTGTGGCAGCCTTGTGTTGCTTCCTACCCTCCTAGAGACATGCACACATGCATATGCACTGCATGGCTCCTTTCCTCAGCTCAGGACCACCTGTGGCTGATGCTGTTGTGAGGATGAATATGGACTCATGGTGCAAGGAAGATATTTGTCCTCTTGCAGTGTGGCAGAGAATCTAAGACATGGTTTCATGTAGTGCCACCAGAATTCAGTAGGGCAGAAACTTGTGCCACAATTTAAAATGACCTTAAGATTCTGTGATCTGTGGGCTTAGATTGCTTTAGAATAACAGAATGAGAGAGGAATGGGGGCAGCATAAATCTCTCTTGCACCCAACTAACATTAATCATGACTAAGTCCCAATTGAACAATTGAAATAAAACCAATTTAAACTCCATTGCTTTTAATGAGAGTCATGACTAACTTTAGGATCACAGCCCTTGAACCAGAACCAAAAGTTACAGTTCTACTGCTTATTTGAATGTTTCCATTAAAGTTGTCAAAGTTTCTAGCTATCCAGGATAGACTTAGAACACTAGTGCATTTCTGTCCTCTTCCCAAGTCAAATCACAACCTCTTTTCTTCAGTCCAGGTTTCCCCTGGTTACTGGCAACCAGAGCTTTCTTCCTAAAAAAAAAAAAAAAAAAAAAATGCCCTGTTTTGGAATCCTTCTAATTGTGGGCTTTGTTTCATATTTTGGGACCCTAATGTCTTAAGCATTTTTTCCTCTTCTCTAACATATGGTACCAGCTTTCCCACAAATTTAGTAATCTTCATGATCTGTATATTTACAGAAAGGCTGTGGAGAGACTATTGACTTCTTAATGCAAGTTTCCTTGTATTGTTATCCATTTTCAAGCATCTCAGAACTGGAGTGCAATTGCAACTTTCTAAAAAGACTGTCTTGACACAGAAGCAAATGTGATTTAGATGAGACGCTTTTCACAATGTATCAACTAACATCCCTCTCCTGGAGCTGAGCCTTTTGATAGCACCACCTTGTCCAAAAGCTCACCCACTTTTAAAAGTATTTTAAAAGTACAGCACAGGTCGTTCATGGGCATGAACAACTAGATTTGTGTATGAGTTAGGCAGCATAACTCCATACATGAGGAAGTTAGTCCCATTGTGTTAAGTGGGGCAAAATCTTGGGTAAGTAGCTATAGGATGTAGATTTAGGGTGGGCTCATGCAGTGGGACCTCCTGCTGCTTTAGCCACCTGGCAGTACCCCAGGCTTCTGAGCAGATTGCCATGGGTACAGGGAGAAAAGAAGCCCTTTCTGCCAGCTGTTCCCTTTACTGTTCATTTCTTTAATGTGTGGGCACTTGCACTGTGTGTACTTGCCAAATACAGCAGTAGCTCCTTCAGGAATCTGTAGGAAGGATCTGTAGATCTGGAGCTAGGATAGATTTTTCTGTTCTACCTGCAGTGCAATTGGCACTAAAATGGACACTTGTAAATGTGAACTCCTTGTCATTCATAGTTATGGATACCCTTTTAATGAATTAGTAAAAATTATTATTTCTTTCCACCTTCCTCGAACTTGCTAGCCATTCCCAATAATCACACAGGAGTCAAAGAGTTACCTAGGTAATATATTTTATTGCTGACAGGCTTCCAGTGTAAGTGTATCTCAATCAGCATGGTGTATTCATAAACATACACAATACTCTAGTTCTTACCTTTTTTCATTATAGTTAAAACCATCCCTTTCTCTGTCCCTCTTCATTCTTGTTTTGCCCCACCCACCTTTCTTCTCTTGATATATTTTAGCTGTTTTTACTTAGCATAATTCAGCCTCCTTTGTCCTCATCCAGCTTCAATATTTCCATGTGCTGTCATTTAAACATGCTGTCAAAGAAAGTTAAGTGTCGAAGCATACCATCCTAGCTATGTTTGGACTTAAAAAGAATCTTGCAGCTTCCAGCCTCTTAGCTGGGAAATGCTAGAAGTTGTAGGACTATTGTTCTGAATATGCCTAGGCTTGCACCCTAGAGCAGCCTTCCCCAACCTGGTGCCCTCCAGATGTTTCGGAGCACGGGGATCATCCCTAACATTGTTCTGATGGGAGTTACAGTTCAAAACATCTGGAGGGCATGACTTTTTCAGGGTTGCAAGGCTGCTCTGAAAGACATGTGTCAGAATTTTCCTCAAGAGTCAAGAAGGATTCCAACTCAAAGGACCTTTTGAAACCTAACCAATTTGTGTCAACACTCTCTTGCTTCAGAATCTCTGCCTGTGATCCTCTCATGTTCCATCCTGTTGAATAGAAACTGCGAGAGAAACAGAAGATTGAGGTAAGATTGTTCATGTGCTAGCTTCTCTTTTTTTAATCTTGTGCTTTCATGAGTGAAATTGTATTTGGGTTTTAATGTGTTTGAATTTCCAAGGGAATTTCAAATAAAGTGCTTTTAAGCCCAGCTTGGTATCCGCAAATGGGAGAAGCAAATGGTGGAATTTGCATAATTCATGGCACACTTTGAAAGAAAATAAAAGCTTTTTGGATTGTGAAGCCTAAAATAGAATGATGGTCTGTGGGAGACTTCATAACTGCTTCATTATAGTCTGAATGCATGTAAGGCAGAAGCCATTTCATTATTATACTTGAAATCTTATATTCCGGTTGGAACCACACATTACCTTGGCAAACAAGCATTCATAGTCCACGCTTGGTGGTTAACATTAATGTCAGAGTGAGATGAGAGCATATTTGTAAGAAGAACTCAGGAGAAAATGGGAGTGCATGAGCCATCCCTGTTCTCCCAAAGTCTTTCCTCCCACAAGGCTACTTTCCACCAAGCAGTCTTCAGAAAGGGAAATAAGTAAGGCTATTGAAACAGATCCAGAGGATAAGGGCCAGGATCAATGTGATTTTACTAGGGATAAGTGAATCTGGTAATTTGAGTTTCCTATTTTCCCAACCCTAAGTTCACCTTGTTCCATTTCTACATCCCTTTGTGTGTGTGTTTTTAAAAATCAGCATGAAAATGTGTATGCATTTTCCTGCATCCAACCTAAGCACTCTTTGTGCCCTTTCTCCTAGTATGTGCATTTCTTGCAAACAGTTTGTCCTAATAGAATGCATTTTGTACATAATTTTTACAAATATATACTTTTCTGTGTGCACTTTTTCCTAATTTATTCAGTATGGTAGATATTACTTGACAGGAAAACTGCATCTCAGGCTTTGGAAAAGCACAAATATTGAAGTAGCATTGTCTCAGTTTGCATATTGGTTCAGGTAGTGCAAATTAGATTGGCATAAGTGAAAAGGAGGAAATGAAGATTCCGGACACTCTGGGACAAATTCCATAACTGTGGCTAAAGGGTTCACACTGCCTTATTCCACAGATGACACTTGATCAGTCAGTGCTGTGTCACCTCTGCTCAAAAAAGCTTCAACTAAACATGATTTGTGCACAGAGTTCTGCGTAACGCTTTGGCAGAGCAGTTTTCTGTAATGTGTACTCAGCTGCAAGGCAGACAGGCACAGTGGCTTCTTCAAGCAAAAGAAGATATTCACTCATGAGCCCTGTGATTCTAAAGGCGCATGATTTGACATGTGCTGCATAGACTGATAGCTCTCTGCCAGAGTATCAGCACATGTTGCTTGGAACATCTCAACACACTGAGAGTGTCACTGATGATCACTCTGCTCAGGTTCTTCTGGACTGTGCGCGCTCATGCTTCTCTCTGCTGAGCCTGTTTTACGCTTTTGTTTTATGTTGTTGCTTTTTAAAGGACTATTTTGTTTTTTAGCATTGTAAGCTGCCTTGTGCACTTCAAGTGCATTGGATGGTTAGTGTATACATCTGTGTTTTGTGCTTATTTTTTCTGGTTAGTTAAAAAGGGAAAAGGTCCTAATGGATCCCTCCACACAGTTCCCACTGAAAACATGACTGTTGGGCACTCTCTTTTACTCCGCTGCAAAAGCTCTCTTCCCACTAGGCAATCTCAGTTTTGGAAGCCTTCTGTTTGCCTCACCCTGCCGAGCCATGGTGTTGGTTGCATGCAGTCAAAACATCACACAGTAGGCGTATTCAGCATCTTACTGGAGCTGTACCTGTTTCCATCTCTTAAGTTGTGGCTTATCCAGCATCATCAATCCTAGTTAGGCTGCATGGAATAATCCGCTGTGCCTTTTTGCATGACCCCAAAGTGTGCTTTCCTGTGTTATTTGCTAAATAAACCAAGAGAGTTGCTCACTTAAAACAGAGGAGATTTTCAAAAGGAATGAGGTGGTCATATGAGTCCCAAACATATTTAATCTTGGTTTAATCTTGTGTTATGAGTGGTGATAGTTTAGTAGTTAATGCTAATATTTTGTAGTAAAATGCATTTTTGGTTCTGTGACTTTATAGAATCACAGTTTTTAAATCCTAAAGAATTTTCGGATCATTCTATCAGTGTGTTTCAGGCCTTGCAAAAAGGATTCTTTTTCACTGCTGTGAAGGGGCATTTGTCACGTACTACATTAGGGAAATACTCTTTTCAATACAGGGTGGATTTATGAAGGAAGACATTGAGGGATCTGCTGAAGATGAGGCGACTGAATCGGAAGAAGACCTTGAATTTAGTGAAAGAGTTAGATGCCTTTCCCAAAGTTCCTGAAAGCTACATAGAGACCTCAGCAAGTGGAGGAACAGGTGAGCCCTGCTTTCCATGCATGTTTGTCATGAGAAAGACCCGCACTACCTCCAAATGTTTTGCTGTACTAAATGTGCAATCCTATGCATATTTAGACAAAAAAGGTCCCACTTTTCTAGGACTTCTTCCTTAAGTCATGCTAAGAAAAAAGGTAAATGCTGATCCCTAATTTTGCAAGGATGGTATGAAAACTGAGCAGTCAAAACAGGAAGAGGAGACGGTCAGGAATCATACTTCAGGGATCACTGCTGTGATGGAAACCCGCCTGTTCTTTTTGGCAAACCAATAAATACCAGGAAGGCTCCAGTCAGTGGTGAGAACCAACACCAACAGACTGTAGACATGGTACTACATCATTGTTTGTTAAACCCATATATTACACAATGTTTGCATAAAGTGTGCATCATAAATGTTTTCAGAACTAACATTTAAAGCTTTCACCACCATTTGATCCTGGAAAAAACATTATATTAAGTTTCATTGGAATACACAAAATGTATATATTAAATGCTGATAACATTAATTGGTTGTTACGTTACAAATACACCATGAAAACAGGCTTGCGAATACTTGTACTTTTGTTATGCAAACATTTATTATGCATACTTTGTGTAAAAATTGTGTAATATATGGATCCTGCATAATTATAAGTTAAACAACTTTTTCTAGTGTAGTGGTTGTTTTTGGTGCTTCTTTCAGCAGTACTCCAGTTTTATTACAATTAAAGAAACTCAATTAGGACTAAGGGGCAACATATATAAATGCAAAAATAAATACATAAATAAATGCCATTTATATTCAGTGTAATTTTATTTATTTTAATGTCAGTCTCTTCCAAGGAACTATCTATATGATATATGTAACAAACACACATGGACAAACTCAATTTATCCTCACAACAACCCTGCAAGGTTGGCTAAGCTGAGAGAAAGTGACTGGTTCCATCTAAACCAGAAGGCATTGTGGCTATCTCCAGGGCTCCCTAATCTAGCAATCTGGAGAGTATCTGAGCTGCAAACCATTACCTACTACTCCAGCCTACAAGATGTGTGTTTTTCATTGCATTTTGTATAAAGTTAATTTACACAGAGTAATTTGTATTGGACCATGTTTAGAACATGGACTGAAGCCATAGATACAAAGCAATCTAATTTATTAGCTTTATTTTTCTTGAGTTTAGTGCAACAAAACTCAAAAAGAGGACCCTGTGTTATTTTTTTGCCCCAAATGCACCCTAGCTCTTGCTCCAGAAATATTGGAAAAATGCAATACCTTTAATGGGATTTAAATACCATAATTTTATATTTTGATTGGAGTCCTTGCAAAAATTTAAAGACAATAGGATACATTTCCTTACTTTATTTAAATTTAAGAAAAAATGAAGGTACTGAAAACTGTTGATATATTGATACATTTTAGCAGTTCAAAGAACTGCGTGATATGTTGACAGCCACTTTCTGTAGCTTTAAACTGCCAAGCCTTCCTGATATTATGTTTGGAATTAGTATCTATTCATTTCTTGTAATGGAGGAACAGTTTCCCAGGGAAAAGAAAGCACTGGGGAATTTTTCCATGGGGAGTTCTTCAGCGTGACTGCATGGCCTTCTTCCACCTGGGGCCCTCCAGATGTTTTTAGACTACAGCTCCTCACATTCCTGGCCACTGACTGTGCTGGCTGGAGCTATGGGGAGTTGGGGGCTGAACCATCTGGTGAGCCCCAGCTTTCTGGAGGCTGCAGTGTCCACCTTTGCCCTGCAGGTCAGACTCTGCATTGCTGGCAGGAGAGGAGCCTTGCCTGCATTTTCAGCCCTGTCAAAAGGTAGAGAAGAGAAGCTTCAAACACAAGTGATGTGTTAATGTGCCAAGCATGCAGTATGCACTGCATTATCTGATTTCCCTTGTGAATTTTCACTGATTCTACTTTCATGCTAACCTTTTAATTTTTTTTTTAAACTCAGTTTTTCTTTCATGATTTTTCCACAGTTTCTCTCATAGCATTTACAACCATGGCACTCTTAACCATAATGGAGTTTACGGTATATCGAGATACCTGGATGAAATACGAATATGAAGTAGATAAAGATTTTACTAGGTAACTTTTTTCCTTTCATAAACTTGTGTTGGTTTGTGTGGACCTTTTTGTTTTCGTTAGAAACATCTTGGCTCTCTTAAGGAAATAACTTTCCAATGTCCATATTAATCTGTGATGCCTCGGTAACAACAATGCCCAGGTGCTTAAGATGCTGAAAAACAAAATTGTTACCTGTCTCCAGGGTAAAGAAGGAAAGAAACATGCTTACCTTTACTGTAGGAGGCATTGAAATATGGTAGAATCCACACAGTTATTGTGATCCAAACTCTTAAATGGGGTGCCAGACTGACACTTTTCCTAGGGCCAGTTCCTTTGCAGCCTTGGCAGTGAGGCACTCATTTCTGTGCAGCTGCATCCCATTGCTCTCCAGGAATGCCCAACACAGGTCCGGTGATTGATTTGGATGCTTCGGATGTTACTCATTGCCCTTCTGCCCTGAGCTGGTGATCACATCCGGTGCCTGAACCTATGTGGTTGCTTCTAATACCTTTAAGTATCTTTAGCAACCAGCGTGTGTCCCAGCCATAAAAAGCAGCTTCCTTCCAGTTGGGCAATGTATATATCATGGTCCACAGACACAATGTTGGGGACCTCAATTTTAAAACAGTCACTTGGGTCTGTTCTGTTCCCAAGTACACTCAGGATGGGTTGCAAAGACACACACACTTACCCCACATACATGTATCTCTTTAAGCAGAAAAGGCAAGTTTGCTTTCTTTCTTTTCTTCCCCTTGAGAATAAGAATGCAAGCAGAGATGAAGCAAATGAAGTTGTTCATATTCAGGTAGCCCTAATTAAGGCTTTCTATAAAGAGCAGCTACAGTATGAAGCTTCAATTTTGTAGTTTTAATTGGCCTCAAAGGAAAACACTTGGCATTTGACAGCACTCCGTATCAAAATAAACTGTCTAGCAATGGTTTGTTTATAAAGTACTAAGCAAGCCATTCTTGGAGGTGGGGCCCAGAGCCAGCAGATTTTACTTGATGTTTTGGGGAGATCAGGAAAATCATCCTTGTGCCCGCAGGAATGTTCATTCATTGTACTTTTAGGGCAGTGACCACATCCCATCTTCTAAACAATTAAGGAAAACGGGACATTTATTGTTCAAGATCCTTAGGGCACAGTCCTGTGCATGTCTAGACGGAAAAAAGGCCTGCGACTCCCAGCATGCCCCAGCCAGCCATGTTGCCATGGGAGGTGTAGGCCTTTCTTCTGTCTAAACATTGTTGGGTTGAGTCTTTGGGTTGCTGTAGTTACATATCTAATGCTGTAGTTACATCATTCCTAACATATAGCACAAGTAGATTCTTTCTTGGAAGATTAAGAAAGCTTCAAAGTGAAGAGAGACTTTGGTGAAGCCCACCAGTGCATTATTGTATTGGTTTTATCTCTTTGAACCTGCCTTGAGTCTTTCTGGCTTCACTTTCTTACCTTTAGCCCATGCCTTTCTTAGTATATGTTCTGCACTTGTTCAATTGTGTATCAATTGTTATATGGTGCATACAATTATTGTATGTTATACAAACTATAGCACAACAATTGTGAAGTTGACTTGTCATATGTCTCTTTTTTCTAGTAAATTAAGAATCAATATAGACATTACTGTTGCAATGAAGTGCCAATGTAAGTATCCTGATGCAATGCAGGTCTTTTTTGTTAAAGTATTTTTATTCTGCTCCATTGTCAAAAGGTCTCCTGGACCAGCTGCCATTTAATTCAAACAAGACACTCTTTGCCTCACAGGCTTACCCTCTAAAATGACATAACACAAAAGGACAAAGGAATGGGGAGGGAGGAGGAGAAAAAGTAAGGCTTTCAGTAAGGCAGAGGGAATGACACTGGGTTTCTCTCTCATCTCCCTCAGCACAGTTTGGTTTGCAGTTTGAGATGACTGTTCTGACATTTCCATCATTTCATATAATGTAAATAAGATTGATGCCAAGAAGTCATCTCTATGTTAAGCTATTCCCTGGGGCAAATGGGAAAAATAGGATGCAGCATATAAACTGGAGTAAAAATCATGGCATCTGTTGGTCTCTGGCAATCTTCTTCTGAACATCTTGAAATGTGCTGTGCTTATTTGCTAATCACAAGTGCTGACAATAGCCTGTAATAACAAGCAGTGCAATGTGTTGTTAACTTGGAAGAAGCGGTGGCATTCCCTAAGTGCTCATTAGCAAGAAATGTGCTGTTTGCATGCCCTCTGTTTTGACATGCTGCAGTGATGTTCACATGTGCATGCTGGTGGCATAGCTAGCTGTGATAGATTGAGATCACATTAAAAGCAAGAGAAGGAAGAAACCAGCCTTTTGGGGGCTCGGCTCAAAACAAAAACAGATGAAAAAAGCAGTAGATATCCATTGTGAAGGCCTGTCATCTTAACTGTCTTTTCAACTTTGGGAACAGATATTGGCGCTGATGTGCTGGATTTGGCAGAAACAATGGTTGCCTCTGCAGATGGGTTAGTTTATGAACCAGTAAGTTTACTCCATGTTATTCATAAAAGATGCACTCATCCACTGGCTTACCATGTGCACAAACATGCCAAGGACACGACACTTTCTGTCCCAAACTGTTCTTTTTTTATCTGTAGTAGTTGAAGTGGAAATGTGCAAAGCAGTATTGATAGGTTTCCATATGCACAGTGCTTTGCTGAATAGCATAAAGAGAAGATGCATCCCTGCCCCAGTAATCTTACAATCCAGATTTAGACTGGGGCATGGGAGAAAAGAGGGGAAGGAAAGGTTGCCAAGGAATGAATATGGGCACATTAGCTTAGCAGGCCACTAATATGGGACAAAGACCTCCTTCTATTTTTACGTGAAGGGGCAGGAATCTTTCCTTCCATGATCATCGTTATGCCAACTTATCTCAGGATTCAGGGGCCTGTTGTGACAGCTTCTGTTGACAGACTTTACATGCTTTTCACAACACAGTTATAGTGTGCTTCCAACTGGGCCAAAGTTCTCACCAAAGTGGTTGGCAATGCAGCAACTGTTAGTGTGGGCCATAAGCAAAGTAAAAATCTCTGAAGACAAGAGCAATGTAATTGTGGGACTGAAAATGGGGAGTGCACAGAATAATAAAGCCATCAACTACTTACCTCATATGAGAAAAGACAAAAAACCCTTCCATTTTATTGATATACACTATTAAGGTTTATTTATTTAAATATTTGTATCCCTTCTATTTATTTATTATTATTTATTAAAACATTTTTATGCCGCCCCATTCGCCGAAGCCTCGGGGCAGCTTACATCAATAAGTTAAATAATTAGAGTCATAAATTAAAAATATAAACATTAGAATAAAATACATACGATATAAAATAAGCCGCCCTGGCCAGATAAAATTCAATAAAATTAACATTTAAAATGCTGCTTAAATAAAAAGGTCTTTGCCAGGCGCCGAAAAACAAATAACGACGGCGCCAAGTGGACCTCTCTGGGGAGCACATTCCATAACTTAGGCGCCACCGCTGAGAAAGCCCTCCTCCGAGTACCCACCCTCCTAATTTCTTTCACGGAGGGTTCCCGGAGAAGGGCCTCTCCCGCCGATCTCAGAGGGCGGCTGGGCATATATGGATGTAAGCGCTCCTTCAGGTAACCAGGACCCAAGCCGTTTAGGGCTCTATAGGTCATCACCAACACCTTGAATTGAGCCCGGACTTCAATGGGAAGCCAGTGAAGCTGACGGAGAACTGGAGTCATGTGAACATAACGTTCAGTCCCCGTCAGTAGCCTGGCAGCTCTGTTTTGAACCAATTGAAGTATCCGGACCATCTTCAAGGGTAGCCCCATGTAGAGCACGTTACAGAAGTCAAGACGGGAAGTCACCAGCGCATGTGTCACTGTTGCGAGGCAGTCGTACTCCAGGTAGGGGCGCAACTGATGAATCAGCCGAAGCTGGATGAAAGCGCTCCTTGCCGCTGCTGTTACCTGAGCTTCCAATGAAAGCTCTGGGTCGAGGAGCACTCCCAAGCAAGAAGGAGTGCAACCCCGTTCAGGACAAGGTTCAATTCACCCTCTCCGAAGCCCGATCTGCCAACCAACAGGACCTCCGTCTTGTCTGGATTGAGCTTCAGTTTATTGGCCCTCATCCAGCCCATTACCTCGGCCAGGCACCAGTTCAGTACAGCCACTGCCTCACCTGGATTGGTGGAAAATGAGAGGTAGAGCTGGGTATCATCAGCGTACTGATGGTTCTATATCAGAGATGGGTTTCTAGACAGCTTATGAAAGATCAAAATCCTAACAGTGCATTAGATAAATTAATTTTCAATATATAAATATATACCATAAAAACAATTCAAAATATAGTTTATCGATCAATCAGAATTAAAATTCTAATCTGCTAAATCAGTACATGGAGTGATATTTTGTGCTGCTTCTATTGCATTCTTGTCTCCAGCAGCCTTAACAATGAATAGTAGCTGGTATAAGTGAAATGCTGAAGTACTTTCAGCAACTTTCTTCAAGAGAATATTTCAATATAAAGAATGTTCACATTAATTAGCAGAAATCTACTGTCTTGGGAACTTCCATATCTCAAGGTAGTGAAAGCTGCTTATACCTTGGAGACAGTTCATGTTTCAATTTAGTAGTGGTAGATATTTGATGATCTTCTTAGAGTGTTTTGCCTTCTGGGTGAACAAGTATGTTTGAATATTTACCTTGGGGTTAATTATCTGTCTTCCACCTTTATTGCAGGTAATATTTGAACTCAGTCCCTTGCAAAGAGAATGGCAAAGGTAATAATCCAAGAGCAATGCAATGTACAAATGGGGTGCTGCATGTGTGTGCTTGAGTGTGTATGTGTGCTAACTTATAAAGAGTTGAATCCTCTAGTTAGAATGAAAAAATTGAAATAAAGACCTCACAGCGTGCATTGGTGCTGTTTTGCATTTTGGGTAATCTCGAGTCATTGCTGAGGATATAGACTGTACATGTTGGCCTTTTCATGTCCAAAATTCTTCAGGCCAGCTTTATATTCAGAAAGGGCATCTTACCTTTACTTCCTTATATTTAAATGGGTGTCACATTCCTGAAGACAACTCAGCCAGCTTGGTTCTGCTCCTTTTTATTCACTGGCAAGTCTGTTTCCTACTCTCCATGCACACATTTCTCTGTTTATCTTCCTTTTCTTGTGTATGCAAAATTATAAACAAACCCACCAAATTCTTCCATTTTGTGCTTTCCTTGCTGCCCCACATGCTGCCCCTGCTTTTACTCTCATCCCATATGGGGAACATCTGGCCCTTCAGATGTTGGGCTGCAACGCCCCTCAGACCTAGCAAGCACAGTTTCTGCCAAGTCGCAATCCAAGAAAAGAGAGAGAGAGAGAGAGAGAGCCCTAGCTTGTGCAGCTCTGTAGTGTATATTTTAATCTGTTGAAGGCAGCACCATTTTATTTGCTTCTTTGCTCTCCCTCCATCTTGTAGGATGCTGCAGATGATTCAGAGCAGACTGCAGGAAGAACATTCGCTTCAAGACATCATCTTTAAAAGTGCTTTTAAAAGTGCTTCAACAGCGCTGCCACCAAGGTGAGAAGGTGCTTTCCATATGTGATGGGTGACCACCTTTGCTTCCAGCATTTGATTGTCTAGCGGAAAAAGATGTGTTTTAAGAACAATGCCCCTGTTTAAAACCCCTTGCCTGGGGCTTGAAGAGTATCCCCTCACCTGGGCACCCAAGGCAAATAGGCAGTCAGAAAGGAAGCTTTCCAGGGGATGCTTTCTCTTTTTTGTATCATTAGTAACCAAGTCTCTAGGATGGTCCCTTTGGTAGCCTGATCCACACCTCAGGGTTGGACTTACTCACAAACAAGAAAAGACTCAAGCACGTTGTCTAGCTGGGCATTTGCCTCCTGAGTTGCCAAGCTGTGCCTGTTGCCCAGCTGCTCCTTAGAAAAAGGACTGCAATTTTGTCACTTGTCATTATGGTTTGAGCTTGGTAGTAATTTTTCCAGAAAATTGACATGTTTATACGCTTGCTAATGGGGCAAGGAATTGCTCGGTTAAGACTTCTGAAGAATAAAGTAGAAGCCCACTCCTTCCTCCATATGCCATGTTGTGAAGGCCTGAAGGAGAGGTAAAGGGAGAGCAACGATTAAAGGGAGCTTGGTACCCCCAAGCAGGCATGGGCTCCCCTGCCACTGCCTCCTCAAGCAGCTACACAACCACTGTTGATTTTCAGCAGTGGCCAAAAGACCCCCTTTCCATTTTAAAACAAGTTGAGTGTGGAGCAGGCATCTTGCCTCACACAAGCCCACACCAACGCGGGGCTTCCAGAAACATCTCTTTGCATGAGAACAAGGCAAGAACCTTTTAGCCACTGCCAAATTGCTACTGCAGTGTGAATTCTGGGATTAGAGATTTCCCACAGACGAGTGCCTATCATAATGACAGCTGATAAGCTTTTTTATACAGGTCCAGGGAGACTTGAGATCAGGTGCTTCAGGCTCATAAGGAGATTTTTTTCAACATGTTGCACTTAGTGGCACAATAGTTTTCTTTGCTCCTGTGACGCAACAGGCAATTTCTTTTATCTCTTCAGCAGCTGTAGGGTGGAAGTAGAGGGTGATAATGATGACATGCATCTGAGCTGCCAAGAAATTAAAGGCCTGTGAGCAGCTGGCTGTGTCAGTGAGGTGCACAGCGCTGTTTTCAATAGCTGCGTCTTCCTTTCTCAAACAGGGAGGACGGCTCGGTGCAGCCTCCAGATGCGTGCAGAATTCACGGGCACCTGTACGTTAACAAAGTCGCAGGGAACTTTCACATAACTGTGGGCAAGTATGTTCATTTCATTTACTGAAAATGTTATAAACATTTATAACATCATTCCCTCCCTCCTCAGGGTTTTGAGGGTTCTTTTCTTGATGATCAAACTGACAGTGTAATCTCTTTACTTGGAATTAAATCCCACTATGTTCAGCAGAGCTTACGACCTAGTGAGTGTGTTTATGTCTGCAGCCAAATTTGATCCTGTTTTTATGGATCTTGCGCCAGCCTCAGTGTGTGTGTGCTTGAACTTAACTGCACTTGCATTCGTTTTTCTAGCATCATTACAGTTCTTTTTTTCCTACCAGTTTGCATGGTCACTACACAGAGCCCTTCTGACCCATCAATGTGGTATGGAGTAGAGTAGCTTTGAATGATGATGGTACATTTCCACTTCACTGAAGAAGCAAGAGGAGCATCTTTCATGCTGTTTCTTTTCCTCATTCTTTTTCTGTAGTGTTAGTAACCCACCCCCACTTAATAATCCCCACCACCATTTTGCTGGTCCTTTCAAACTTGAGTTATTTAGTTCTCGTCACCTGTTTTTCCTGCCTTTTCTTCATCAACACTTTTTTCCTTCCCTTTCATAAACATACAGTACTTTTTGATTTTTAAGTCCTTTCAGATTTTTCCCTCCTGCTGCCCCCTAAGATCACAAAAACCTTTTATCAATTCTGCCTCAAGTAAATTAAAGGATTTACAGTTCCCCATCAGTTCTCTGTTAATCTGACACCAAGCAAAGTGAAGTCAGTTTCAAACTTGATTTTCATGCTAGTCAAATTTATGTGTCTGTCTTCTTCCCTGTACTAGTGCAGATAAGAGTAGTTGCTGTCAAAGATATACAGCAGCATTCTCCAAGCCAGGGCCCTCCAGATGTGCTGGACTGCAAATGGGAGTTGCTTTTCAACATGCCTGGAGGGCACCAAGTTGGGGAAGGTGAACATCACAGTCTTTCCCATAATAATACAAGTGCAGTGAGAGTCTCATTGACCAATCACCAGTAGAGCTTCTTAAAATGCTTTCACTGAATTGTACTGACAAGTTAAATCAGACAGTCATTTTGCCCTCCTGTCTGAGTGTGAAATAGAGCCATACTGGCGTTAGAACAGAATGTCAATGTATGGTCTATATGGGGACCTGTTAGGAGTTGAATTGCATGTCCCTCTGTATATATGGAGACATGGAGCAGTGGGCAGGGCGGGGGGCAAAATAGCTGTGAGCCTTTGTAAGGAGGTCCTTTTCTTGAAACAGGTGATGTACACTTGAAGAATTCATCTGCTGCTTATTCAAGTTTCGTGGCAGCTGTTGATTTGCTACTGTTGTTTCTTTTCTTCTCTCCCTGTTTTCTTTTTAGGGCAATTCCTCATCCAAGAGGCCACGCACATTTGGCTGCCCTTGTGAGCCATGAATGTAAGTCACCTCTGGTACCTTGCATGGAAACCCTATTAGCAGCAAGAGGCTTCAAGAAATGCACATCCTGTCCTACCTGGGAAGGGACATGTTCCAAGAGTGTCACATGCCTCTTGGAACATGCAGCCCAGTGAGTCAGGCCTAGAGGTGAAGTCAGTTTTTGCAGAGAGGGTAGCATGTAGGTTGCTCATTCATTCATTCGTTCGTTCATTTTTTTGATTTATACCCTCCCTTTTTCCTACAAAGGGTTCAAAGCAGCTCACATCTCCTCCTCCATCTTATCTCCACAACAACAACCCTGTGAGGCAGGTTGGCCTGAGAGTCTGTGACTGGCCCAAAGTCACCCAGTTGGCTCTGTGGCTGAGCGGGGACTAGAACCCGAATCGCCTGAGTCCCAGGCCCATGCTCTTAACCATGACACCACATTGGCTCACCGCACTGGTTAGCACTTTCCCCATCTTCCTCTCCCTCCCATCTCATCTGAGTAAATTTTCCAGCTGGTTCCCTCTATTCAGTTTTTGTCATGTGTCTGGCTATTGTCAACTGCATCAACATTAAACCAGGTGTGCCCTTAAAACAGGAGTGGGAACCCACAGCCCTCTAGATCCCTCACTGGGGAGAGATGCTGGGCAGTTTAGGCCAGAACATCTAGAGGGCCATGTGTGCTCTGCTCCTGTCCTCGTGGCCTGCTGTGGCAGTGGTCCTCCCCACCATTAGTCAGGTAGAGAAGAATGAGAGGTATAAGCATGAAAGATGGAAAGGCAAGTTCATGTGATCCTGTCTCCTGAGCTCAATTTGAGTTGATGGTTTGAACTGTGCCATCAAATATTTTGCAAACATTGTGATATTGTTCAGTTATTTATTTTCATTATGGAATTTGAATTCTGCCCTTCAGGAAGACTTTCCCAGAATGTCTAGTAACTGCAGTTATATCAGAGCAAGGACAGGATTCTGCATCAGTGAAGCTGTTAGTGATTTTTAAAAGCAATTTTTTCCATGTTAAGTCATCCTGCATTAAGATAACCTCTGTTTTTTTCCCCATTCTTGGGGATCACATGAGCTCAGTGGGCTACATCCAGCTTGGGGCTTGCAATGGGCCTTTTCCACCCACTCCTTCCTCTTGCAGCACACTGCCTGCCCCTCAAATCTGCTTTGGAGAGTCCTGCAAGCCAGATGCAGAGGACATCTGCATCTCTGGTGGAATCCGCTTTGCTGGTAGAAGCCATTCTGTCAGGAGACTGACACAGCTGGATTTGACCTTTCATTTTTACTCTGTGTTGACATGTCATTTAAAAAATACAGTAACTATTTTCCAGAAAGCACATAATAATATAATAATAACAGGAAACTTCTTATTGGAATGTACAATTCAAACTTGATTGGCTTAGAACAGAACATTTGAGGATTGTATTTCAGCAGAACTATGAATGGCAAAGTGACAGCGTTACTCTATTCTGTTTTTCAGCATACAACTTTTCCCACAGGATAGATCACTTGTCTTTTGGAGAGCTTATTCCAGGGATTATTAATCCTTTAGATGGTACTGAAAAGATTGCATCAGATCGTAAGTATTTCATATCTGATGATAGAAAAGTGCCTGTGTAGATTATTAATTCAATTTGATGGGGGTGGGGTTGCTTACAGTTTTCTTTGCCATAGGGGAGTCTTTTTTGATTGGTGCCTTGTTTGCTTTGCCTTCAGACAATCAGATGTTCCAGTACTTTATCACAGTTGTGCCAACAAAACTTCACACACACAAAATCTCAGCAGAAACACATCAGTTTTCAGTGACAGAAAGGGTAAGTCGGCCTTAAATAGCTGGTTGCTAACTTGGAAAACACATTTTGGAACTGTAAACATTATTTCCTTTTACTGCTCTGTTTTCTTTGTATCTCTAAAGACCTACATTTTCTTAGGAAGAGACACCAATCAGTACCAATCAATACTAATCTATCTATCTAGGCTAGGCTGCATTTTTCCTCCAAAATAAATGCCAGATCTACCTGAACAGATTTTAAGTTTTCCTCCTTCACATCGTAATTTTACAATTTGTCAGGAAACAGCATTTCAGTCTTCATCTTTAAGTCTTCTCCAGTGTTGTTACTAAGATAGCTCTGAGTATTCTAATTTCTGGCACCTGCAAAACCTAGTCTTTGCATATGCTTGATCTAATATTACAAAATTGTACCTGACTCATTTTTCCTTGCTGCTACTTTCCAGGAAAGAGTAATTAACCATGCAGCTGGGAGTCATGGAGTGTCTGGGATTTTCATGAAATATGACATCAGTTCCCTTATGGTGACAGTGACTGAAGAACATATGCCCTTCTGGCAGTTTTTAGTGAGACTTTGCGGTATCGTTGGAGGAATCTTTTCTACTACAGGTAATAGATTATGTTGCAAAACCCAAAAATCTCAGCAGCAGGAATGTGCAAGTAAAGCAAATTATATACCTTTGAAGCAGAGAGAGGAATTTCAGTTTGTGTGTTTGTACTACAGCTGACATTCTTTTTCTCAGAGCTTGAAATTAGTGGTATCCTTTCGCAAGGTAGGGTATAGTCAGAAAATTCTTAAAGTGGAAGATTTCCAAAGTTATTTATAGTTTTTAGATGTATACACTGCATATCCTTAAAATGGAAACATATGGTGTGGTGCATGTGTTTTCAGACAGGTGCAACATACAAGGCATACTTGTCAGGGGGTTAGAATTGGTTTCCATTTCTTGATAAGAAAATAACAAGATAATAGCAAATGTGTTATTCGTACCTCATAGCTAATCAATACATAACCACAGACTAGTTTTGGAACAAAGCATTAACAATAGTACCCTAAACATCCAAACTGTTCTGTTCTTGCAGGAATTATACATGGCATGGGAAGATTTATTGTGGAAATTATCTGCTGCCGTTTCAGATTGGGATCATCAAAATCTACGTCTGTAGGTGTATTCAGAATAGTATCTGTTTGTGTTTAAGGACTCAGTGTGTGTCATTTGCATGCCAGGAATAAATATTTGTAGACATAATTCTTCAGACCAAGAATAAGAGAGCCTGGTCCTCCATCCACTAGCACCCAAATCCATTTCAATGTCAATATAGACCAGAGCTTTACAAACTATGCTGAACTCATACAGGCTACAAAAAAGCTAGGTTCTGCACTTGTGTTATTTAATTTTAAAATACATTGGTGATTCTCGTGGTCTGCATCTCACAGAAACCAAATGTAGAACCCTCCTGGAGTCTGAATTGACCTTAAGGTCTGCATAGATGTTGTACAACCTTGATTATGAAGAAAACTGAGATGTACTTTCCTTTTTGAAGAGCATGGTTTATGTGGAAATAAATCCCCTAAGCAGACTGCTAGCAGTGAGTAGCGATGAATCGAGAATGGATGTAATGAAAAAGTAATTTTTTTTCTTTCTTTGATAGGTCACACTTCAAGATGGCCACCAGAACAACCATGTACCTCTTATGACAGATGATGCTATGCATTAGCACCTTCTTCAAAAACTGTTTTCCTTTAAGTCCAGTGGAGAAGACATTTTTATAACAAAACATTGTGCAATATGTTAAGACAGTGCTGATGGGCAGTGCAAAAAAAAAAAAAAAATCAAGCCTTTTAAAAAAAACAAAAAACAAATCCTATTTGTGTGACTTGTCTATGCTTTTTAAAAATACAGAAAAAGGCTAAGAAGTTCTATGAGAGCACTCTTACTTCTTGAATCAGCAGGACCACTGTTTGGATATGACTGTAGTTCACAGTCGAATTAAACTGTTTCACAGAATGGACCACTGAAATATCAGGTAGCATTCTGAGTGTTACAGGCTCCCACAGAAATTAATGCACGAAGGAATGAAGTTGGAGGGATATGTAAGCAGGAAAACTTGCAGGACCAGCTTAGGACCAGAAGTTTCCTTGTCATGGAATATAAGATGTATTTATTTCTTTTCCTTTTACATATGTGAGCATGTAAGTGCTAGAAAAAGAATGTGGAAATCCGGGAAATGGAAAAAGGATGCACAGAAAATGAAAGCAGGCTAAAATGTGCTACTGGAAACATAGTTTGGATGCAACTTTGTGCATTAGCTGTTGGTTGTTTTAAACAAATGTGGAAAAAAACCAGTTCTGGCATGTAGCTTTTGTTTTTAAAGAGGTCTTGTCTCTTCTAGAAAGAGAGTGGACAGAGCACAGGGTCATGTTGTATGCAGGTAATTTCATGAATTTTCTATCAATGTGGTAGTTGCAGCCCCTGGAGGCTCCTGAGGGCCAACAGCACAAGGAGCTGCTGGTGGTTGTTTACACCTGGGAAATACAGCCAGGCTAGTGCACTGAACCCCATGAGAATGTATAGGGAAGAGTAGACACAGGTGTCAAATGTGTGTGCATTTTAATTTTCTGTAAGATTTCACAAGCCATAATGGCAAATAGATCAGCTCTCCATGTTGGAACATCTCACCATGGGTAGCCAGCCATGAAGGGTTCTTGTGCCATCTGAACTTGATGGTATGGGTTCAGCAGGGTGGCTTATTTTTCACAAACACATCACCCTGAGAATCCATGGCTTGTTTTAAAGTGCTGTTCTGCCATATGTCTTTGTCCAAAACCATCTATGTCCCAATCAAAAATCCATTAGCTGTTGAAATTAATTTTCTGCAAAAAAGGGGATGATATGTGCCTTTGAATTCCCCAAGCACCTTGAGTTTCAAGATAAAGTGCAGAAAGTGTTACCACTTGTCTACCAAGTGTTGGCAGACAAGGCCAAAAAGAAAAAGAAAAAAGAGGAATTTGCTGGAAAAGGGGTAAATCTCAGCTCCCCCTTTTGTAAGCAAAGGTCACTTGCACACTTGCTTTTCCTTGACAGCTTGGCTTTTGATCGCTATCAAGAAAAAGCCAAATGCTGAAAATCCCCTATTTGGGTACAATAACCAGGCTTGGTACCTGACAACCCATCAGTGTCAAAGTGGGTTGCTGATGTCAAACTGTAGAGTGAGGGTAGATCACTGAAAATCAGGCCATCAGTCCTTCTTGGGGTAATGAATTCTGAAAATGATTATGGTCTACAACCCCTTGCAGGCTGGGGCATAATGGGAATTGTTAGTCATTTTTCTGTTTGAACATGCATAGGATTGCAATTAAAGTGCAGTCTTTTGTTTGTATCATGTGTCCCAATAATTCATTTCTCAGGAGGACCCCAAATTGTACAATTATGAGAAAAGGAGGAACATTTCAACACCAGGAATTTCCTTCATATACCCCCTTAATTGCCTTTTTTAAAAAAAAACTAAAAGGCCTCAGGTACTGCCACTTTCCAAACTTTCATTATCCTTTTGAGATAGAGCAGTCAGAAACGGAGATGATATTCCAAACACAGATGAACTACACAACTGTATAAATGCATTGGTGGCAGCGGCCATCCTTTTTCCTAGAAGTTCCTAGCTTGGAATTGGCCTTTCGTAGCTGTTACAACTCTGTTAATGTTTCAGATCAGCTATCTACCTCCAACCCCCCTATCAAATACTATCAGTTAGGACTCTTTTTCCCTCCTGTGCATACTTACTTAAGCAAATCAGATAACAATAGTTAATAGTTAACTTAATCTTGCTATTAAGCACGCCATCAAGTACATAAGACAGGCATCAGAAGTAAGCCCCACTATGCTTATTGAAATGCATTCACAATTTCAGCCTTGGATTCATTATTTAGTCATTTAAGCTTCAGAATATTTTGAGAACAATACTATCTGCATAATACTCTCAAAAGGTCATTAAGAAAATTGTTCAGAATACATTTGAGAAAGAGCTTATAATTTTTTAGGTCGTTCATGAATCCAGAACAGGATATTCAAGCCTTGGCATCTAGGTAACTTTTAAAGATTTCTTCTCTCTCCTTTAACAAGACGACTTCGGAGCATTGAAGCATCCTAAGAAAAAAATAGGAAGCTTATGGATGTTGGGAAAAAAGCCCTCTTATTCTGTACACAGAATCATTCCCACAACAAAAAGAAGCTCTACTTATCATAGAGTGAATTCTCTGTGTTGATATTGGTTCATAAAGCTGTGTAAATTCTGCACAGATTTAGTACATTCTGTCAGTCAGCCATAATCTATCAGGTTTAAAGCCCTGAAATTTGCTTTAAGGTGACACTGGACAACTTGATTCTCAAGATGCCCAATTAATCACATCATACACTATACAAGCGTATAGGAAAGAAAAATCTATATTGTTTAGGAAAGAAAAATCCCAGCAATAAAAACTTTCTCAGGTATTATCTCATAGTCTAACCTAGTATTTGTTTTAACCAGGGATCATAGGTATATTCCAGTTCCTTGGAAGATCTGAAAATAGGGGACTAGGCATAGAATTCTGCTTCCCAAGAATCCAAGCTTCCAATGGAAGGATTGAATTCCTAGATTGTGTTGCTGCAAAAATACGCTTGCAAGTGTGTGAGCAATAAACCTGCTGAAATTGCAAAAGACAGGGAGGCACCTGAATAAGAGTTTGTGTACATGCAGGGATGGAGGCAGCTTTAATGCCTTGCTTTGCTTTCTTCAAGGCTAGCAGAAGCATGATTTATTCACTTACTAGACTAATAGTGTCTATGACATACTTCAGTTAAAAAATCTGCAACAGCTTAAAGAGAAAAACAGTAGACTAAGTTATATTATACCAAGAATGGAATATAAACAGAGTAATGCTCATTTCATACATTCCCTTCACAACATCTAGGATCCAGTCCAAACATTTTCATCCCATGAATTCTGCTTTTCTTGGGGCACAATATGGACTAAGTAGTTGCAAGATATTTTCTCAGTAGGGATTTTACACAGCTCTGGTCATGAATCCAGCAGGAATCCTCTTCCAAGTTTAGACAGAAAGAATACTAGGTATGTTTCAATTCAGTATTAGTATAAAAAGAAACACTTCTTTTTCTGGCACAGTACATGGGTGGAGTTTCTGATAGGAGACACACGTAAGACAGGCATTTCTATTAATCTTTGAACTACTCTAAATACAGAATAAAAGCAGGTTGCTTACCTGTAACTGATGTTCTTCGAGTGGCCATCTTCGAGGGGCCACACATATGGGGTGCTGCGCCTGCGCAGTGCCTTTGGCTGGAAGATTGCAAGCTAACAGTTTTTGTTGGGAAAGCTCCACTCCCCCTCCCCCATGGCCTATAAAGAGCAGAGCGTCCGCCATTTTGTTCAGTCTTTGACAACCGAATGTGCACCCCCTTGTGGAAAAATTTTCAGTATGAGATAGGAAAAAGGGATCGGTAATGGGAAACTTTCGGTACCGATGAATGTGTCCACTCACTGACACCGAGCAGGGCTGGCGGGTGGGTTGTGTGACTGCACAGATGGCCACTTGAAGAACATCAGTTACAGGTAAGCAACCTGCTTTTCTTTGTCGTGGCCTCTGTGCATCACATATGGGTAGATTAACAAGCTTGCCATAAAGGAGGAGGGAAGGTGTCCTCATTGAAGAACGGAGGAGAGAACAGCTCTACTGAAGGAGCAATCCCATCGAGCTCGAACATCGAGACGGTAGTGCCTGGCGAAGGTGCAAGAGTTCGCCCAAGTAGCGGCTCGGCAGACGTCATCAATCAGGACCCTGGATGCGAATGCAGACGAGGTTGCAACAGCTCTAGCAGAATGGCCTCGTGGAACTGAAGGCAGTTCGAGCTTAGCTAATTGATAGCATAAGACTATAGTGTGGACTATCCACTTAGAAAGTCTCTGCGGAGTGACTGGATCGCCCTGATCCCTAGCAGAATGTTTGATGAATAGTTTATTGGATCATCGAATAGACTCCGTTCGCGATCGGTAGAAGGCTAAGCAATGGCGAACATCGAGTGAATGCAAAGATCTTTCCAATGGAGTCGACGGTGATGAAAAAAGGCAGGCAGCACAATGTCTTGTCCCGTATGGAAAGGTGTAGATACTTTAGGCAAAAAAGACGGGTCGAGGCGTAAAACGACCTTCTCCCTGTGAAAGTTTAAATAAGGAGGGTCTATGCGAAGCACGCAAAGTTCACTGGCCCTCCGGGCTCAAGTGACAGCTACAAAAAAAGCCGTCTTCCAAGGGACCAATCGAAGATCCAACGTCGCCAAAGGTTCGAAGGGGGCCTTCATAAGGGCCTGTAGAACTACAGAGAGGCTCCATGTGGGCATAACCAGTCTAATTGATGGATTAAGATTATATAGTCCCTTCAAAAATCTTTTGAGGATAGGATGAGAAAACAGAGGTGATCCGTCGACTAAGCCACGGTAGTAGGTTACTGCAGCTGTATACACTTTAATGGATGACGGCTTCAGTCCGGAATGGTGCAATTCCAGGAGGAACTGAGGCATCTGTTGAATGGATGAGAGGAATGATGAATGCGACTTGGCAAAGGCGGAAAAACGTTTCCATTTAGCCTTATATGACTTCCTTGTAGAAGGCTTTAAGACAGAGTCGATGATATGCTGAATATCAGGATGCAAAAACGTCAGATTTGGATTCGACAGGTCTTGTCTCGAACCGGGTAGTACAGAGAGACCAGAGAGGGGGGAAGCAGCCGAGTGAATGGGTTCAACAATTGGATCCGAGGTGGTCGAAGTCATCATCGGTACCGACGGATTAGTAGAAGCTGTTGGATTCGTAACTTTCAAAACCGTTGTCGGCACCGATGGAATGTCAATCATCGAATTCGCCATGCTGTTAGGTTCAATGAGAGCAAATCCGGGTGGCAAAGTGTGTCCTCCACCTGTGTTATAAGATATGGGAGCGATGGAAGATGAAGAAATTCCCCACGAGAGATGTCAAGTAGTTTCGCAAACCACGCTTGACGTGGCCACCAAGGGGCAACTAGTATCCCCGATGCTCGGTCGTGCACTATCTTTGCTATGACCCTCATCAGAAGAGGGATCGGAGGGAAGGCGTAGAAGTTCATATTGTTCCAAGGGATCATGAATGCGTCCCCTAGGGATGCGTGTCCAATTCCCACTCTCGAACAGTAAGCCTCGCACACCCTGTTCTGTTGAGTAGCGAATAAGTCCACGTTGGGAAACCCCCAGCGCCGGAAAAGGTGGTTGCGCGTACGGGGATCCAGTTCCCACTCGTGAGAGGTGAACATGTGCCTGCTGAGAAGATCGGCCTGCACATTGTCTACACCAGCTAGATGAACAGCCATCAGCGTGATGTGTCTCCGGATGCACCAGTCCCAAATGTTCATAGAAAGCCTGGCTAGAGTTGGTGACTTTGTTCCCCCTTGCTTGTTCAGATAAAAGACGGTAGCTATATTGTCCGAAGTTATCTGAACAATCTGATGATGAAGGATATCCTCGAAAGAGCGCAGGGCTTTGAAAACTGCCAGTAGTTCTAGGAAGTTGATATGATTCGTGGATTCTAGACAATTCCACATACCCTGGGTAGATAGGCTGGAGCATATCGCTCCCCATCCTAGAAGAGACGCGTTGGTGCCTAGGGTAATCATAGGAGGTCGCGCCCTGAAGGGGACTCCTATCGTAAGATTGGTCTGTTCCAACCACCAACGCAGAGAGTGAAGCACGGAAGTTGGGATCCGAATCAGTCTCAACTGCGGATCTCTTTGAGGATGGTACACCTTCTTGAAAAAGAGTTGCAGTGGGCGAAGCCAAAGCCAGGCATGTGGAACTACAGCAACTGAGGAAGCCATATGCCCCAGGATCCTCTGAATAGACCTCACCAGGACCGTTCCCTCTCGTCGGATTCGATGGATGTGGCAAGCAAGAGTCTGTTGTCTGTCCTGAGGGAGGAAGGCTTTTTCCAACGTCGAATCCAATCGGGCTCCAATGAAAGTGAGCGTCTGTGTCGGGAGAAGAGAAGATTTCTCGGTATTAATACGTAGGCCTAGGCTATTGAGCAAGGCACAAGTTGTATGGATGGCCGCAAGGAGTCCTTCTCTGGACTGCGACACCAACAGCCAGTCATCGAGGTACGGATAAATTTGTACGCCCTGGAGGCGTAGGAAGGCACAGACAGGAGCCATGCACTTGGTAAAAACCCTCGGAGCCGTAGCCAGTCCAAAAGGCAAAACTGTAAACTCATAAAGTTGGTTTGCAACCGTAAAACGAAGGAAACGCCTGTAACTTGGGTGAATTGAAATATGGAAGTAGGCATCCTTCAAGTCCAATGAGACGAACCAATCCTCTCTCCTTAGCAATGGCAAAATGTTTTGAAGGGTAGTCATACGAAACTTTTTTGGTACAATAAACTTATTTAAGTTCCGTAATTCCAAAATCGGACGTAGACCACCATCCCGTTTAGGGACCGTGAAGTATCTGGAATAGAATCCGTGGAGTCCGTCAGATGGGAATACTTGACAAATCGCTCCTTTACGAAGAAGTTGATGTATTTCGTCGAGCAGTACCAGTGAACATGAAGTGGACCGGATCGGACTTGACGGAGGAACGATGTCAAATTCTATTCAATAGCCGTGTTGAACAATGGACAATACCCACCAATCAGATGTGATGGACTCCCAAATGGGGAGTTGGCTTCGAAGCTGATCCCCAGATGAGAGGGGGGTGGGTATTGGTGGAGCATGCGGAATGGTTCGCCAGTCCTGTCAACGTTGCCTCCGATCGTAGAAACGATGGCGGCCTTGTTGGAAGCGTTGTTGGGGCTGAGGATGGTGGCGCTGCTGTTGCTGTTGCTGGCGGTGTTGTGGCTGCTGCCTTGGTTGATATGATTGCCTGTAGGATGGACGATTCCAGGACCACTTATATCTGGCGTGGGACTGTATCTCCATCCTGCGTGCCGTCATCCTCGATTCATGCAGCTTCTTGAGCTTGTGGTCGGTGCAAGAATGGAAAAGCCCGGATCCATTGAAAGGCATTCCCTCGATCCGGCACTTGGTTTCTTCCGGAAAATTACAATTCCGAAGCCATGCATGCCTTCGGAGAGAAACGGCACCAACCAAGGCCCGTGAGTCAGTATCCACGTGGTGCCTCGCTGTGGATAACTGCTGCACCGCAACCTGCATGGCTTCCTTAATCAGGACCTTCGCGAGGTCACCCTGGTGGTCCGGGAGGGTGGAGGTGACGTTGTGCAGGCACTGCATAATAAAGTATTGATACCTCGACAACGTCGCCTCGCAATTTACTATACGGAGCCCCAGGCCTGAAGCAGCGTAGACTCACCTAGCCAGGGAGTCTATTTTTCGGCCCTCTTTATCCCTCGGTGCCTTGTGCCCTCTCGCCTCTCTGCCCTGCAAGGATCCGACGACCGCAGAGTTCGGTTTGGGATGTAGGAGGAGGAAGGGGATGTCCTCCTCCCAAACTCTGTACATCGACTCATATCTCCTGGACGTCAGCTTAGGATGTGATGGCAAGTCCCAGGGCTGCGTCATCGCCTGCCGCAAGGTGGTTATGAGTGGCAGGATGATGGATGTCGATTGATCCCCGCGGACGACATCGTAGAACTTGTCCGTCGTCGGTCCCGGGCACTGGGCAGCATCGATGTCCAGGGACTGGACAAGTCTAGACATCAGCTCCGTGAAGGAGACGTGGGACTCATCAGGTGACGCGGGACCCTGGGATGTCACAGCGACATCCAGAGAGGTTGAGTCGACCTCCAAGTTGGCCGAATCGGCACCGTAGTAGGGTGGGGCCGAAGATGATGACTCTGCTGGGGAGAAGGAGCGGCTGCTTCCACCCTGTGGGGATCGAGGTGACGCCCGCCTCAGATCCAATGAGCGCGGTTGGTCACGGGATGGAGGAGAGGATCGTGCCCTGGGAGCAGGGTAGTACCCTACGGAGAGTGGATCACCCCAAGTATGGTAGTAGGGGCGATGCCAGCTCTCCGGACGTTGCTCTACAGAGCGGCTCCTCCGGCTCCCCGGTGGGGACAGTCCAATGTCTGCTTCCATTGTGACTGCATGGGTGTCAGTGACCTCGCCCTAGGAGGGGAGTCCTGGATTTCCCTGTCGGATATTGAACCCCGTAGAGTTGGAAGGGGTGCAGGTGGTAGGTCAACCACACGGCAGGGAGACCCTTGAGGGGTAACCCACATAGCCTCCTGGAGAACCGGTTCGGGCGGAGTCGGTACCGTAAGTGCCACCAGTACTGAGGGGCCCATCGGATCTGAGTCCCGATGTCGGGGATGGTCCGGACGGTCCGAATTCCTGGTTTTCTTGGGAGGCTTGGAGACCTTCTCCTTCCTGGCCTTTTTATGGCCTGCCGACTTCTCGGATTCGGCATGCTTCCGCTTTTCATGCAGAAGGAGAAGCAGAGGGAGCCACCGAAGCAGATGCACCTTCATCCGAAGGCCGTGAGGGTGGGGCCACAGAAGCGGAGCCAGGTTTTGGGATGGCAACAAGCGGGTCTGATTGCATCAGAGCCTGATCCCAAAGGAGTCTCCGGAAGCAGTTTTCGCGGTTCTTCCTGGCCTGCTTGGAGAAGGCCAGGCAATGCGCGCATTTATCTGTCCTATGCCCCTCTCCCAGGCAGAGGAGGCATAGGTCATGCGGGTCAGTTGGTGCCATTTTTGACCCGCAGTTTGCACATTTGCGGAAAGCCGCTCGCTGCGCCATAGCAGAAGAAGAAGAAGGAGAGAGGGATAGTGCAGAGGGTAAGTATATGTTTTTGTTTTTGTTTTAGCTAGATAGATCGAAAGCAGAAATAACAAGAGAAAAACTATGAGGAACAATGAACTGGGAGCAAGGTTTTTGTTTGTTTTTTTTAGAAGAAAAAACTGGGAAAGAAGGACAATCAAGAGCAAGGTAACAGCTCTAAGCGAAAGTCGAAAGCAGCACGAGGCACAGCGAACGGCGGTCGCAAAGACTGAACAAAATGGCGGATGCTCCGCTCTTTATAGGCCATGGGGAGGGGGAGCGGAGCTTTCCCGCCAAAAACTGTTAGCTTGCAATCTTCCGGCCAAAGGCACTGCACAGGCGCAGCACCCCATATGTGTGATGCACAGAGGCCACGACGAAGAACTGCTATTTACAGCTAGCAATCAAAAAAAGGTAAAGGTTTCCCCATGACATTAAAGTCCAGTCATGTCTGACTCTTGAGGGCGGTGCTCATCTCTGTTTCCTAGCTGAGAGAGCCAGCATTTGTCCACAGACAGTTTCTGTGGTCATGTGGCCAGCATGACTAAACACTGAGGTGCATGGAATGCTGTTACCTTCCCACCTAAGTGGTACCTATTTATCTACTTGCATTTATACGCTTTCGAACTGCAAGGTTGGCAGGAGCTGGGACAAAGCACGAGAGCTCACCCTGTCTGCGAATTCGAACTGTTGACCTTTTAATCAATCAGCCCAGCAGCTCAGCAGTTTAAACCACTGTGCCACCCGCAGTCCTAGCAATCAAAAACATATCAACAAATGCAGCACTGTGAAATTGTCATCTTATAGCAATGGGTATACATGATCATCACACAACAGGACTGCGCTACATAGAAGAAAATATCTATGATCAGACCTGCTCAGCATCAAAGGACACCCCTAAAATAGACTATTTCTACTGAAATAATTATTCCTACAACTTCAGTTATGACAAAGGGATGTTGTTGAATGCTGTGACACAGGAGACAAACATCCTCTACTTACCTTCAAGGTGAAATTTGAGTCCAAATTATATTTCTTTCTTCCAATATCTTGAAGTTCTTTCTCTAAGTTTTCTTGAGTAGTACCTTTCACATCAATATAGTGGCAGTCACAGCTTGCATAATGACAAGAGATTGCCTGCATGAAAACCCCCACAAATAATACAGAGCTGAAACTGCCAGAAACAACTTTCTGTAAAAAAACTCTGAGGGTGCATCTATCTGTCCAAGGGGACAATGCAACCATCTCCATTCTGAGCCTATTAAAAGCATTTCTGTTGCTTTGCCAGGGGCTATTTTTTAGAGCTCCTCTCCACAACCTGGAAAGCAGAAGCTGGGAAGCAAAACTCTATCTGCCAACATCTTCATACGGAATGCATTTTTTCACAACCCCCCCGTTTCCTTCAAAGCAGTTTTATTTAGCAGTATTCTATAACCAAAGAATAGAAAAATATTATGGATCCATCTCAGATACTTACTTAAATGACCCACTAAAAAGTAAGAACTGTACTGCAGTATGTTTAGTCACCATGAGGGGCTCTTATACATTCCCCACCTTCAAGGCATCGAGGGCACCTTCCCACCAAGTTAAACTTACTGAGAAGTTGGTCCTCTGTTTTTTTATTTCTAAGGGGCAGTGCATCTGTTCCTGAAGCAAAAGTTAAGAACTTCCACCACAATGAGAAGTTCCTTGGCTTTGTATTTTATAAATGTTACTCTTCTTATCCTAGCTTTAAAAATAAGTAGGCAAAAACCACTCTCAAAAAGATGTTATGTAACAAGATTAAGAGAGGTCATTTACATGGGAGAGTCTGAGCTCATCAAACAGGCTTTTAAAAATTATATCAATTATAATTATATGCTTCAATTATATCTTACCTTTCGAAACCCTTCTGTCCTGTTCATTCCAGAGCCGTGAATTAGCAAAGGATGGAAGAACACAGTATCTCCTTTCTCCATAACAAGGTGAACTCTGGGAGCATTTTCATCATAATCAAGCACTCCATGGTACATCTTGTTTACTCCACCCTGAAAAAAATCATGGTAAAAATGATCTTTCTACTTTTAAAGTGTGGATGTTCCTATATTTTAGTCTTTGGGAACACCCACACTTTAAAACTCAACCTCTTTAGAACCAAATCACAAACATAAGGATTGCTCAGTTGAATCAGTCCATGCCACTCAGCCTACTGTTTCTAGCAATGGTCAGTCATGAAGTATGAGGCAGATAAACAACCTGCCTTAATTCATACATCTAGTGCAAAGATGCACACACTGAACAAAGAAATCCCAGTTTTCTATCATGGCTTTTGACAGGTCTATTTTCCATGAATTTGTCTAATCATTTTTCAAAACCATTTGAGCTGGTGGTGATCCTCACACTTGTACCACCTGTTTTCCATTTCCTCCACCCAACCCCTATGTGATCATATACCTGCAATTCAACATCACACTTCACAGTCATGCATCTAATGAAGTGGATTCCAGTCTAAGAAGGTTTATGCTAGAATATATTTTATAATCTTGCCGGTGCTATAAGAATACTGTTTTTTGGTGCAACAGGCTAAAATGGCTGTGCCACTGAGCTTCAGGGCCTTTTAGCACATGATGTAAAATACAGGTATAGGTAGACAGAGGGCAGAAAAACTGGAGAGTCACAGTCCCTGCTGTCACAAAACCAAAGAGTCACAGTTCTTGCTGTGCCAGGATCCTAATCTAGATCACCTTCCAGCACTCACTTCTGAGCTAAAAAGAAAACAGTAGCTCCATATCTATAAAGTAATGCATAGTTTGATCCTAGCTTTAGTGACAAAATTGAGTTGATGAAATAGCACCTAAGAGATTTGTAATGCAGCCTCTTCTATGATTACTTTATGTGACATCTTTGGTGTGGCATCCTTCCTTTTAGAATTACATCTGGCAACAATGGTGTAACCTTTCCAATACCTGATCTTGGCAATGACGGAAAGTCATCACAGCTTAGATGTGTTCTTATATTATTTCAGTGTTATTGTAGTTTTCTGAGATTTTCATTTTTCCTGTTTCATCCACAAAACTTAACTAACAATACAGTCTTCACATGCTGTTCAATACATGGTTTGCATATGCGTAGCATTCATGAAGCCAACTGATCACTCTCTCCTTTTACAAAATTGAAGCAAACTGTATTGAAGTTGCTAAAAATTACAGGATGGCAGAGAATGAGTTCTCTAAAGACACCTAGAGAAGCTGATGCTGAAAAGGATGTTGGAAAGATAACACATCTCAATGTGTAAAACTGTAATCAACTATCTCCTAGCTTGTCAATACCACTATGAACATACACACAGGTTACCTCCCATTCAGGATAATCATGCTGTTTCAGAGACCCCTTATGAGTTCCTGGCAAGACCACCAAGCACCCATTTCTGTGATGGATCCTCTCCATGGCAGTCCAGACACCGACAATGCGATCTGCTGGCCGGAATGGGAAATAGTGCAAATCCTGATGCAATGGGTGGCGAGAGGTCTTCTTTCCTGCAAAAGTGATTTGTGTTAGATTAGCTATAGAATTACTTATCAATTTGAAGCAAATATTTTCAGCTGGTGATTTCTGCACACATCCTTCAATTGTAGTGATGGAGTAGCTGAGAATTATTTATATATCTTGAAACAAACACTTTTTCCTCCAGTTAATTTCAAGTGGTGAAAAAGGTATACTAGACATTCTTAGAATTCAATTAATGCTGGTGAAATTATGTGAAAAGAGCAAAACAGTTATGTGTTTCACAGGTACAGGTCCAACCCTCAAAATGCAATGCCCCTATCTCTGGGGTGAGGTGGGATGAAGTATGGCAGAGCAGAATTGTTTACATATACCAAAGATATACCTGTATGACAGTAGCTTCATTTATACCTGTATGACAGTAGCTAACAGTGCAATCCTATGAGCACCTGATAGCATCTAGAGCACCAAAGGATTTTTGGGTTTCTCAACTAGGAAGCCAGAAAAATGCTGTGACCTTACAGTTGGGATCTGCATTCAGATACTCTCTCCTGCTACTCCAGCCAGTGCAAAAAGGTGCTGCTTCTCCAGGATTATAAACATCAAAATTGGAAAAAGGTTTTTAGGGGCATTCCAGGGCTTGAGAAGGCGAGAAGAGCAGCATTGTCAAGATCTGACATATCCTGACAGTGTTGTTGCCTTCATTTCTGCACTGACACATTGTACGTTGATGGCCAAGACCAGTCATTTGAGTGCTCTGCATAGCTGGAGTGATCTTTATTCCGCAGTCCTCTGAGTTTGAAGTGTTGTAGGCATCCCCACAGGATTGCATACTAATTTCTGAAGTTTCATTGGAAAAAGAAAAAGGCCAAACCCAACAAACCTGCCTACATAAACAAAATATTTTCATTTCTCATTTACTCAAATATTCCTTACCTGAGTCTGGAGGTTTATTTATCAACATAGTATGCACAGCCATAATGTTTGGTCCTGTGAAGCATTCAACATATTGTAGTATCTATGGTGAAGAAATATCTCATCAGATGTATATTTTAAAGCACCTAAAGTCATCAAATTGTGAGGGCAGTGGTTAATATGAAAATAGCATATTTTCATATTAAGAACTCAAGGGAATGTAACCAACCAATAACACAATATTGAATAAGTAATCAGTTTTAGCTCTAAGCACTCCTCAATGCATTTTAAAGCCAAGCTACCATTACATTTAAAAATAGTTGCCAAGGGGCTAGTTTTGGATTTGGGAAGGAAAGGAATTCTTGGCCAATCCCATTTTCCCAAGCTAAAACTCCTCAAGACTATTTGTTCTTCAGGGAAAATTTAACAGGTACTGGAGAGAGATTTGCATGATTGGCCCCACAGGGTCAATTTAAATAAAGAAAATTGTGGTGGAGGAAGAAATTGATCTCAGATTCTTTTTTTTTAAGTTGTGACTATCTATCTCATTTTCACACATCTGTCATCATGTCACATAAATTTTGTTAGATTGCACTGCATCATCTTGGCAGAACATCAGAGCCATAGTATGGTAACACTTTGATTACTGAAAGTACACATTGAAGCAGTTGACACAATCACAGATGGAGAAATAAGTCATGGTGGCATATTTTCCCCTCCATGCATGCTTGTTGTGTGCCAAGGTATTTGCATCACTATGCTCACCGGATCATAGGTTCTAGGTGGTCTGTTGCCTATAGCAACAGGTCAGCCTCATTGGGTTTGGATTGACATGACAAACTGCACCAGCATGTGCAACTCCCTTTTGTATTTGACATGCACTGTGGCAAACCTGGTCATGTGGTACAGGCACTGGCTATGGATGAAAAGCACTGCAGCAGCTTTCAAGAGAATAGCTGAACATCCTTAGGATGAACTATGTGTAGGCCATGGACAAAGATCAAAGACATGCTCATATGAATTTAGTGTGGAGAAAGTTTTCAGAAGTTCATAAAAATGCAATTATTTGCAGTCTTCAGGATATTAGTCTTTTACCTGAGGCAACTGGCAATATCTGAAGAGCTCTTTATCTTCCATAAAATCCTGTATTTTTGTAACTATTTTCTCACTGGTAATAAACTTTGATTTAGCAATTGACACATCTCTCATAACCATGAGTCCAGGGACCTTCACCTCCTCTTTGCAGATCTTTATAAATGCATTTCTGAAGACAGGATGGAAAAAAGAAGTTCAATGGGAAAAATTTGCTGCCAGATAAAGCAAGTCTGTTGCTTTTAAAAATTAAAATGAATACTTTTATCTTGAAAAATTATGGATAATAGCTATATCCAGAGAACAATCTAACACAATCTGTACTGTCTGAAATGCTTTGGAATTACTGAATGCTTTTAATTATTGAATATTTTTGAACATCCATTTAGAATTCAATTTTGGGTATTGGTTCTCAGGTCTTGCTTAATGCATTGAAGTCCTTGAGCATTCCTCAAAGGAGATGACCGGATTGTGATGCAGTTTTTAGACAATCTCACTACCTCGGTTAAAATAGCAGACTGTACTTTACCTGAAACGTTCAATGTCCTCATCAGAGACCAGGTTTTTTATGACTAAGTAACCATTCTCTTCATAGAAATGCCTTTGTTCTGGGCTTAGAAGGTTATTATCCAAGGTATACCTGTGGAGATTTTAAAAATCACAAGGAATTTGAAGGGAGAAGGAAAACTCATAAAGCATGCTCCTTATTGTTTCTACAAATACTGAAAAATACTGATACAAAGATAAACTCTGACATATCAAAAAGACTTTATTCAACAGTATTCCAGGGAGCTTGTTCATTAATATTTTTACTTAACTAACAAAGCATTTGTATTTGAAACTTTGGCAGCAATTTTAAACTGTACTCCAGGAAACCCTGGAGTTCTATGATTATACAAACAGTAAAGACACCGAAGCTTCTTTAAAAGACACATTGCCCACCACGATCGATCTTTCCTAGTGATTAACAGCCACTAAGAACTTCATGCAAACAATCATGTAATCTTCAGGATGTCCCAAAGTCTCTTGCAACACAGAAGAATTCTGTAGAGAAGATTCCATGAAAGCAGGAAGTTTGAAACTATTATAATATGAAGTATTTTTTATAAAGTCGTCACCAAGTGTGCTTAAGTTGCTTCTTGAGAATAGCACCATAATATACTGAAACAACCATGTCATCACAGCATACTAATACAAGAAACATTGAACTTATTTCTGAATAGACATACATAGGACTGAACTGTTAAGCCACTATATTGTCTTTACTGAAGCTTCTGTTTGGAAAACACTGGGAGGAAATGGACAGTGAATAGTGCTCCTCACAGCCTGACATTTGGTAGCTATTATCTGCAGGTTATTTCACAGCCAGAAAGTTCTGCTGAATTGCAGAACTGTCCATCCTGAAGGACTCAAGTGAAACAGCAAGTAGATGGTCAACAGATGCAATACTAGTTATGAGTTCACTAAATCCAAGCACAAGATTGTAGATCTGGTTTAGATGGCATGACAACCCTATAGTTTATTATAGTAGGAGGGCTGTCATGTTGTGTGAAAGAAGTTCAAGTTACCCACAATGCTTTTTCCAGAACAACGCATCATGAGAATTCATGGGCTATTCTATGGTGGTTGACACCCACAGAGGATTGCTGTGATGCCCAGAATTGAACAGTATGACCCAGCATGGATTAGTCCCAAAAGCCAGCAAGCTGCTTGTTGAAGAGGCAAAAATCCCTTGCAGCTCTTGTCAATCAGCTGCCAAGCAAGTGCTGCTAACAGTTGCCCGCAAAGTTCCAAGTTGCACTTGGGGGTGGCCAACTGCAGTGGCACAGAGCCAATATCTTTGCTGCTCACTTGAGAAGTCTCCTCTGGAGACACTGGCAAGGCTAGCAGGGACCTGCTCCTCCTTGCCAAGGAAATGTGCATATCCTTGCCAGTGGTTCAAAAGGTCTACTGTAGAAAAGCCAGCAAGAACGGCAGGAATATGCTTCTCCTTGCCAGCTGCTCCAGAGGAGACCTCCAAAATTACTGGTAAGGATGGGAGAGACCTGCTCCTCCTTGCCAGGGAAACACATGCTGCTTCAGAAAGAGTGGACAACTTTGGTGGTGCATCAAGAAATTTGTTCTCAAGTTGCTGGCAAGCATTTAAACTGATTTGTTTGTACCTGCAAATGGGGACAAAACAAATTCTTTAAAAAAGTGGTTCCAGTTGCACAAACAACACCCATTTGCCAAAGCATGCGGGCACAGGGCAAGTTCTAGTCATGGCAGTGACAATGTGCAGAGCTGTACCAACTGCCCCCTTCCAGCATGCACCCCACTACACACTGTGCCTGCTGCCCCTCACATTTCACTGGTTGGATTCACAGAAGGTAAGCTGCTATTAGAAGCAAAGGAATGAGAGATTGTTTTCTGAAAATAGCACATGTTCACTGGCAAGAACCTTTTCTTCTGCTTTCTTCTCCATGGGGGAACAACTTTTCCCTTTTGCGTCCTTTGGGTCTTGGAAAGAATACAAGGGCACACATACACTTTTTAAAGGGAAACTGAGCTTGACAGTGCACTTTTACCCATTCCCAAGCTCCCAGAGGGTTGGCACAAAGAGCAACAGTTGCTGTCCCATGGAAAACAAACAGGCAAATAAGGAAGGATCTTATTGGGAAAGGATGTTATTTGTGAATAACAGCCCTTTCCCTACAAAATAATTGTTGGCTTGCCTTTCATGAGCATCAGTTGAAAGCAAGGGGAGGGGAAGGTGAGGGAATTTTTAACTTCAGCCTGGACAATATGGTGGCAGGCTCGCCACTGTCGTCTTGCAACATGCATCTCCCTGCACATTGCCTCAGCCAAAGCTGGAAGTTGACCCCACTGTACTTCAGGGACCTAGCCCTGTTTGTGCAACTGGGACCACTCAGAAAAAAAAGTGAGCAGGTACTGACAATCTCTTCTAGGTGCCACATGTCACTTTGAAGTGGCATAACACACATGCCTCTGAAGGGAATAATGAAAGCTCACCCTACAGCCAGCTTTTGCCATGGAAAGGAAATTTAAAGGAATGGCCAGAATGAGCTAAAATCTGCTAATGCTGGGGAGACTCATTATTCCTTGCAATGTCCTCTGGGATACCACCTGGAAGAATGAGGGAACGATGTTCACAAGAAGAACCTGATCAGGTGCATTGTGGGTACTTTACAAAACAACCAACCCACCATGGCTTATGGTCAGGGCATGTTATGGTATCATGTGAACAATCCCTAAATCAACAAATATTTGGTTTCCACATTGATGTAAATGAAATGGTAAGTTCTTTTAAGTTCCCATGCAAGAAGAAAGAGGATAAAATATTGCTTACCTAAATGCTATTGGAGCTTCTTTAGTAGTAACTTGGGCTGAAGTAGGAAATGGTGACTTAAGGGAAATATTAAGGAAATAAAATATTGCTTTGATTTGATATTTCAACTAGATAAATGAAGTCAGATGGATATAGAATCATAGGATCTCTTGTCCCAAAAGGAAAAAGAACTAAATTCAGTATAGCTTATTATTTAAATTATTCACTATAATTACCTTGGAGCTGGTTTATACCCAAACCCATTTCCAGCCCTTCACCTCTAAAGGTATTTTAGAAAAGCAGGTTGCTTACCTGTAACTGATGTTCTTTGAGTGGCCATCTGTGCATTCACACATATGGGTGCTGAGCCTGCGCAGTGCCTAGGCCAGAAGATTAGAAAGCTAACAGTTTTTGGCCGGAAACTCTGCTCCCCTCCCCCTCCATAGTATAAATAGAGTGGAGTGTCCACCATTTTACTCAGTCTTGAAGACCGAACGTTCGCCCCCTTAAGGTTGAAGATGATATCACAAGAGCATCATCAGTACCCTAAATATTTAAGTACGGTACCGATGAAGAACACTTCCACTCACCGACACCGAGCGGGGCCGGCAGGTGGGTTGTGTGAATGCACAGATAGCCACTCGAAGAACATCAGTTACAGGTAAGCAATCTGCTTTTCTTCGTCGTGGCCTCTGTGCATCACACATATGGGTGATTAGCAAGCTAACCAGACTCGGAGGAGGGAGGTGTTGTCAATGAAGAATAGTGGAGAGAACTGCTCTACCAAAGCAGCAATCTTGTCTGGCACACACATCAAGCCGATAATGCTTGGCGAAAGTGCATGGAGCAGCCCAGTTTGCAGCTCTGCAGATATCCTGGATCAGAACTCCTGCTGCAAAGGCCGATGAAGCCACTACTGCTCATGTAGAATGACCCCTTGGAAGCGCAGGTAAGTCTATCTTTGCTAATTGATATGCCAAAACTATAGTCTGAATGATCCATTTAGACAGTCTCTGAGATGTGACCGGAGAGCCCTTATCATGGTCAGAATATTTAATGAAGAGTCTATTAGAGCTCCTGAAGAATTCTGTGCGAGATCTGTAAAAGGCTAAGCAGCGCTGAACGTTGAGAGTGTGAAGAGACCTTTCAATTGGATTCGATGGCGATGGGAGGAATGCAGGTAAGATAATCTCCTGATTCATATGAAACGATGTAGCCACCTTAGGTATGAATGTTGAATCCATTTGAAGAACTACCTTTTCTTTATGAAAATTCAAGTACGGTGGATCTATTCGAAGAGCACAAAGTTCACTAGCTCTTCGGGCTGAAGTGATGGCTACAAGGAAAGCAGTCTTCCAAGATACTAGGTGTAAATCAGCAGTCGCCAAAGGTTCAAACAGGGGCCTTGTAAGCGCTTGGAGTACTAGGAGAGGCTCCATGTTGGCATAACAGGATGAACGGACGGATGAAGGTTCTGCAGTCCCTTAAGATAACGCCGAACCATAGGTTGGGAGAAAACAGATGAGCCCTGTACATTACCATGGTAATGTGAAATGGCAGCAGCATAAACCTTTATAGATGATGGTTTAAGTCCCAAACGGTGCAATTCAAAGAGAAATTGTAAAATGTTCTCAATAAAGGCCAATCCTGGAGAAAAAGAACGGCACTCAGCAAACGATGAGAATCATTTCGCCGCGTAAGACCAACGCGTGGATGGCCTCAGCGCAGATTCGAGAATCACTTGAATATCTGGATCTAAGGCTGTTGGTCCCGAAGCAATCCCTGTCGAGTCTGAGGGAGAGGTCGGTTGTACAGTTCGTTGAGCTGGGTTTTCTGATGCTTGAGATGTCATCTGTATCGAAGCAGCAGCAATACTCATCCAATGCGTCAGGCAGTCAGCTTCAAGGGGGTTAGGTCCGGGTGTCGGGATCGCTCCGTTCTGCTGCATTAACAAATGAGGAAGTGCTGATATCCAGAGAAATACATCTCTAGACATCTCCTCCTATATTTTTATACATCTCCTCCTATATTTTTTATTTTATACTGATAATTTTAATTTTATATTTGTAAATCAATGTATTTTTTGTATTTTTGTATTTAATAGTAATTTATTATGTACTATTGTATTTCAATGTAATTTATCATGTTGTAAGCCGCCCCGAGGTTTCGGCAAGGGGCGGCATAGAAATGTTATAACAACAACAACAACAACAACAACAACAACAACAATAATAATAGACAGTCAAAGGAGAGTGGTAAACCAAAGTCGTCTCGGCCACCACGGAGTTACTAATATCCCTGTGGCGTTGTCTTGCACTATTTTCGCTATGACCCTCATCAGAAGTGGGATTGGAGGAAAAGCATAGAAAGACATATTGTTCCATGGGATCATGAGGGCATCCCCTGTCGATCCTGGTCCGATACCCGCTCTCGAACAATACAGTTTGCATACCCTGTTGTCTCAGGTAGCGAACAAGTCCATGTCTGGGTATCCCCATAGATGGAAGAGGTGCTCGCAAAGTCATCTGTCCAATTCCCACTCGTGGGTTGTTGACATCTGTCTGCTCAGTGTATCTGCTTCTACGTTGTGGGTTCCCGCCAAGTGAACCGCCAATAGTATTATGTCCCTTGGGATACACCAATCCCAAATTTCCACCAATAGACGCGCTAGAGTCGGTGACCTTATCCTGCCCTTCTTGTTGATGTAAAGACAGCACCGATGTTGTCAGATGCAATTTGGACAACTTGATGTTGAAGTACAGTCTCGAAAAAATTGAGCGCGTTGAAAATCGCCAAGAGCTTGAGGAAGTTGATATGCTTTGTCGCTTCCTGTCGGTTCCAAGTCCCTTGGACCCAAAGTCCCGCATATGCTGCACCCCACCCGATGAGAGACGCGTTGGTGTACAAGGTTACTGATGGTTGAGGTGGTTGGAACGGAACGCCAATAGACAGGTTGTTTGGAATAGTGCACCAAGTCATTGTATGCAGGAACGACAGCGGAACCCGGATTAACTTGCTGGGCGGATCCTGTTGCAGATGAAATGACTTGTTGAAAAACAACTGGAGTGGCCAAAGTCGGAGCCTGGTGTATGGGATGATGGCAACTGCAGCAGCCATATGTCCCAAGAGTCTCTGGATAGTGACGGCCTGTACTATTCTGTTCTGTCAAATCTGATGGATATGCGTGCAAAGAGTGTCTCGACGGTTCGGAGGAAGAAATGCTCTCTCCAGAGTAGAGTTGAGATGTGCTCCGATGAAATCGATGACCTGCGTAGGAACAAGGGACGATTTCTTGCGGTTAATGCAAAATCCAAGATTGTCAAGTAAAGCACAAGTTTCATGCACAGCTGAGAGAAGGTCTTGTCTAGTCTGTGACACAATGAGCCAATCGTCCAAATATGGGTATATTTTTATGCCATGAATCCACAGGTATGCGCACACCAGAGCCATACACTTTGTGAAGACTCTGGGGGCAGTAGCAAGGCCAAATGTCAAAACGCTGAATTCAAATATATCAGATCCAACAGTGAAACGCAGAAAGCGTCTGTGAGAAGGATGGATAGAAATGTGGAAATAAGCATGCTTCAAGTCCAGTGAGGCGAACCAATCCTCTCTCCTCAGCAACGGAAGGATATTTTGTAAGGTGGTCATCCGAAACTTTTTATGTTTGATGTACCTATTAACATCTCGCAAGTCCAGAATAAGATGAAGACCACCATCCCATTTCGGGACCGTAAAATATCTGGAATAGAATCCATGCAGTTCCTCAGAGGGAGAGAGCTGTCGAATCGCTCCTTTATGAAGTAGCTGGTAAACTTCGTCGCATAGTACTGAAGAGCAGGATGTAAATAGAATTGGGCTCGACGTAGGAACGATGTTGAATTCTATCCTATATCTGAGCTGAATGATGGACAACACCCACCTATCAGATGTAATGGACTCCCAATTGGGGAGACGGCTTTGGAGCCGGCCCCCAAAAGGGAGAGGAGAAGGTGGGGAGTGGAGAGATGGAATGGTCCACCCGGACCGTCAGCATTGACGCTTCTCTGTATCAAAACGTTGACATCCCTGAGAGAAGCGCTGTTGCGGCTGCTGCCTTCGGCATTGTTGCCTCTGTTGGTATTGCTGCCGAGGCTGAAAGTGTTGGCAGTAGGAGGATCGAGGCCATGGCCACTTATGTTTTTGCTGAGGAAGTTCCATGCGGTGTGCCGTCATACGCGATTCATGGATTGTCTTCAGCTTATGGTTGGTCTTCTGATGAAACAGCCCAGTACCGTCAAATGGCATTTCCTCTATCATCCTCTTCATTTCTTCAGGGAAATTGCAGTTTCTCAAACTTGCGTGGTGTCGGAGGGAAATAGCACTGATGAGGGCCCTCGAATCAATGTCTACATGATGCCTTGCAGTGGAGAGCTGTTGTATTGCCTCCTGCATGGCCTCCTTTATGAAGACCCTGGCTAAGTGCGCTTGATGGTCTGGAAGGAAGGAGGCAACGTTCTCCAGCTTCTGCATTATGAAGTACTGGTAACGTGCCAGCATCACTTCATAATTCAATATGCGTAGGCTGAGCCCAGAGGCTGCATAAACCTGGCGTGCAAGCATATCGATTTTCCTCCCTTCCTTATTCCGAGGGGCCGTGTGACCCCTCGACTCCCTGCCTTGGGAGGACTCAACCACCACCAAGTTCAGCTTCGGGTGACGGAGTAGGAATGGGATGTCTTCCTCTCGAAGCCGGTACATGGCTTCATACCGACGAGACGTAGCCTGTGATTGAGCCGGTTGGTCTTAGGGCTGGACCATCGCTTGACGGAGTGTGGTGATTAACGGTAGAGCTATGGCTGTGGACTGCTCTCCCCTGACGATGTTGTAAAAATGATTGGTACTGGGACCGGGGCAATGATGGGCCTTGATCTCCAGTGACCGAACGAGGTGGGAGATGAGCTCCGCGAACGTGACATACGGCTCGTCAGGGGATCCAGGGCCCTGGGAGGTAATAACCACATCAGGACATGTGGAATCCACCTCCGACTCATCCGAGTCTTCAGGATAGCAGTACTGGTCGCTAGAAGAGGTGGTTTCTGGAGATGTTGGTTGTCCTCTCTCCAAACGCCGTGATGTAGACGGAGCCCCCCTCGGGACCGATGGTGACTGACGGTCCCATGGGTAACCAAACGGATGGTATTCACCCCAGCCAGGGAACCCACCATAGCCATGCATCGGCCAATCCTAATCTCGGCACTCAGCCAAACGGCCTCGGTGTCTGGGTGGTGGCGGCGAATCCGCAGGTGGCTCGGCTGTGGGCATCGGGGTCGGAGAGTGTTCTCTTGGTGGGGAGTCTCTAATCTCTCCATCAGAAATGGACTCCCTAAGCGGTTCCTCCGGTTGCAGAGGAGACGCGCTCTCAGGCCCAGCAGTCTGCCTGGGGGATCCCGGCAGATTCACCTGCATTGCAGATTGCAGGGCTGATCCCGAGGGAGTTGGTAACGTAGTGGCGGTCGGTACCGAAAACCCCGATGAACCCGAACCCCAGTGTTTGGGGTGGTTGGGTTTCTTGCCATTATGGGCGGGCTTGTCCGCCTTTTCCTTCCTTGGCTTCTTGTGAGCAAAGGGCTTATCTGAGCCAGTATGTTTACGCTTCTCCCGTTTCTTAGCTGGGGGAGAAGGTAAATGCTGGGCCTCCATCGAAACAGCGATCGCAAAGACTGAGTAAAATGGTGGACACTCTGCTCTATTTATACTATGGAGGGATAGGGGAGCGGAGTTTCCCACCAAAAACCATTAGCTTTCTAATCTTCCAGCCTAGGCACTGCACAGGCGCAGCACCCATATGTGTGATGCACAGAGGCCACAACGAAGAACATAGAAACATAGAAACAGAACGAGTCAGAAGGGGCTTCCTGGGCCATCTAGTCTGACCCCCGGCTCCAGCTGGCTCCACTCACGACATGCCCACCAACTTGATTCAAGTCAATTAAAGAAAATGATCACAAAATAAAGGTTCTTTAATATTTTTATTCCACTGTTTCAAGAACCTCTGGGAGGTCTGCAGGATTCACACCCAACAACATTTCATTTCAAGGAAAGACCAAGAAATAAGAACTGGCCAAAGCATATCTGAGTAGGCAATTGTGGTGCTCAGAGGAACCAACAGTCCTCAAAATAGCTTTCTTGGCACACATAAAAATTCTCTACCCATTCCATTAAAAACCCTCTTTTTTTCCTGGTAGATGAGACTGCTGTGAAATGGGACTCTGTTAGTGTTGAAAACTGAGGGTTGAAAAGCGTTGTTTCGTGCGCTGAGTCTCAAACAGCATTTCTGTCTTATACTCAAATCTCTGGGCAGGTTACTTGTCCTATGCCACACCTCCCATAGTGGCCATTTTGTGGTAGCACTCTGGTCAGTTTCTCAAATTGCCAAAAGTGCCCATGGTATGAAAATATTGTCTATATCTCATGACTAAATCAGAGGACTCAATGGACTTTATACATACAGCTTAAGCTTAATATTGGACTGAAATCTGTTTGATTCGAATCTTCCTTGAGCATCCCTGAATTGCTCTCAGAAAGTCTGTAAGGATCAATCATGAAGTAAATACCTGCAGATAATTTCCATGGAAAGTCAGGGTATACTTTATTGCTGTGTTGATAGATTGCATTTTAAAAAAGAAACCCCCCCACATCATTTTGCTGTCAAGTATACACCCCCAAACATTTCAATTGTTCAGGAGAACCAAAATCACATTCTGACTCTAAAATAATCATTTCACATTTCCCTGATAGAAAGCTTACAGGCACATCCATAATATCACTGGCATTCATTAAGATTCACAGATTGTTGTACATGTATATGCTATCCTATTTTTAACTCACTGGTATGAACTGGCACTAAACACAAGCCTATTTTAAATACAATTAAAATGGACCTATATATCGGTTTATTTTATTTTGTAACCACCTCTGTAGTTACTTTTATACCAATTCTCATATGTATAAAGATGTTTGTTTACACGGGATACCCGTGACTTATGACCATGTCACTCACCACCACCACGAAAAGTTTTGTGTATTTGACAGCAGGCATTTCATCACAAGGGGCAAAATCAGGCCCCTCATCCGCACCAACCTGTAGCTGGAGCAGGAAAATCCCTTCCGTTTGCGATCTGTGACTGACTAGGATTTTTCAGAGCAATCCGAACACGTTCTGTGGTAGGGTGAGGAGAGAAACCCTTCTACTGCCCCGGCTGGCTCTATCCTCAGGACTGCAGCTGAAGCGCTAGTTCTACCTCATCGCTCTCTCAGGCGCTGTTTGCTGCACAGATCAGCACCATCGTCGCAGCCGGGCCCGGTCGTTTCATCCCGCTGAGCTGGTCGACCCAGCCGTACGCAGAGAGGAGGAATGGGGCGCGCGCGGGACGCCACAAGCCGAGGCCGAGCAGGGCAGGGGTTGCACGGCCAAAGAGAAAGGCCGGGAAAAGGATACAGGCGTGCCGGCCGCGGTCAGACCGAGCGGCCGGGAGGGAACGAGGTGCCGGAGCAGAAGGCGCAGCCGGACGTGCGCGCTCGCAGCGGGCGCCTCGTTTGCACGCGCCTCCATGGCCGCCGCCAACACCAGCGATCACTTCTCCGACCTCGTCGCCTCTGAGCAAACGAGGACGCAATCAGACGGCAGGCTTGGGCCACTGCGCTGCAGGGACTGCAGGCCCAGGCTCCCACGAAATGGCGGGCAAAGGCGTAGCCCCGCCTCTCGGGTCTCCTTGTGTCACTGTGGGGCAGTATCAAATTTCTTCCTGTGATGTTTGTTCTCTCTGCAAATAAAAAAGAGAGGGCAATTCTCTGAAGGAAAAACGCACAGCAGCTGCCCGTCCCCCAATCCGTCACAGAAGGGCCAAAGCAGAAAACGACCGTGCAAAAGGCCCAATCCATTGCGACTGTGTGGAAGGTGTCAGCAAATTCTACTAAATGTACATCAACGTCATTAGAACATGTAAGGGCAGCCTTTTTCTTTTTCTTTTTTTGTTAATACAGCCATGGAGGAGACACAATCCCTCCATATATCGACAGTCTCTATATTTTAGGTATATCATTGGAATGTCATGAGTAAAACAGAAATCAAGGCCCATAAAATTAACAGCATGTTCAACCGAATATATTTTAACACCACTGACGTTGCTAATCCTGTAGTTATTTCCAAATAACTAGGTTCTGGCACAATGTATTAAGTCAAATGTGCATCACTTTAAAAAAATGTTTTGCATAAGAACTTCTACCCTGGAATAAGGAGTAGAACTTTAATAATATTATTACAAATGAGGGCAGTAATTATAGGACCCACAATTTACCTTAGATTTTTTTCCCCCAGTGGCGCAATATATTTTTCTCTCTCAACTCCAGGATTCTATTTATTTGGGAATAAATCACAGTATGACCTGAGGGGATTCTTTTCTTCATACCAGAAAATGAGCACTATAGAGTACATGGCTATGGCAGCAATCCTTTTCACCCTTTTGTGGGAGTACATTAAGCAAAACTTTGGATACTGTCTGATTCTCTGGGTGTAGCCATTTTAGTATGTTGCAACAAAAACAATAAAGAACTTTGTAGACTGACTAAGACTAAACAATTTATGCCAAAATAAATGTGTTAATCTTTAAGGCACCACAAGACACTCTGTGGCTTAATTCTAAGTCCCTGAGTTCTGCTTTTTTGTTGGTCAACTTAACATGTGTTTCTTTTCTCCACAGTATTAGGGTTATTTTATTTATTATTTATAGGGTTATTATATGCTGCTTTTATAGCCCCCCAAGGCTCTCTGGTAGGTGTATGGCAAGATTTAAAGGGCAAGATTTAAGATGAGAGAGTTATAGTAATTAGATTGGCAGAATGTCTCTGGAGATTGTGTATGTGTGACTGACACAGATGCATACATACTGGTCCATAAACTGGTCAAAGTACATGCTACGTTGAATATGTAGCTTTGTTATTATTTACTTGATAGTAGAAATGGCCACAGTGAGGGAGATCAAAATGAGAACTTCACTACATGAGGAGGTTTAAGTCTTTCTGCCTGCCTGTCTTTCATCCTTGTCCCTGTAAATCAGGATTAGAAAAGTTGGCACTGGAAAGAAAACAGAAATGACTGCCCCTTTATTGTTGTTTCTTGTTTCAGTTAATTTTCATCTAAAGGTTGAAAAGGAGGGAACTTGGCAAAGTGAATCTGCTACCATTTTTGGTTATAACAGAAGAGCTGGAAACATGTCACAGGATTAAATATATAATATACATGGTAGGCTATTGAATGCAACGATTAGGAGGCATACCCTGCTATCATGTGTGGCCTCTAATACTAGGGTGCAACATAATGTCTGAATGTACATTGTGGCAATTACATAATATGAAACCAGAAGTATAAAAATGGATAAAGAAGTTTTCTTTCTCCCTATACTGCAGCCAATTCACTGGCTTGTGGGGATGCCAGAGATCAAGGACTTTAGAAGTATGTAGACTCCCCCAGTTCAAAGTACTACATCCTGAAATAGCCCGTTTATCTGGGGTTATACATGGTATGCATATTATTTGTTAATAAAACTGTCATGGCTTTTGTTAGCTTTATTCTCTTTTGCTTCTTTTATTTTTTATGCACTTCTCTATTTGTATGAATAAGATGTATAAAGCTGCCTTACAGATGTCTCATAGTAGGCTGGAGATGGGTGCATCTTTGTAAAAGTTGTTTTTAGAAAAAAACCAGAGAGTCTTCTTATGATTTTATTGGACACTTCCCTAATATGTGTGGATGATACCATTTTGGATGAACACTCTGCCCTTAAGTTTATAAAAAGTTATAGTTGATTAGTTTTCTCACACATTTTCAAAAAATATATTCTGCTCAAAGCAGAAAAATAGAATATATGCTTAAGAATATATTGTTGTTCTATCACTCAGCCCAAGCCATTATACAAGCAGATGCTTAAACTTTAATGTAATAGGACATACAGCAAGATGAAACTATGTTTTATAAAGAGTTCTACAGGATGCCAATTATCTATATTAATGAAAGAATAGGAAGCAGTCTAGGATAGTTCTCACAGTGGAGGGATACAAGAAATGGAGATCCCCAAGGACTTATTTTCTTATGACCAATTCTTTTAAACTTGTTCATTAAAGTTCAGGAGTAAGGGGTGGGGATTTAGTGACCAAGTTTGTAGATGACACCAAATTATTCAAGTTGATAAAAACAAATGTATACACTTATATGTGTAGACATATAAACTTTTATGTAGAGTGAACCAGTTCTGGTTGCAGCACCTTAAAACTGATGGTACAGATCTTAGGGAGAGAATGAAAATTATCAGAACACTGCAACAATTCTCCTAATAAGGAAGATTTAAATTTGGTGCTATTTGGTTTAGAAAATATGGAATAAGTGAAGATTTCTATAAAGAGCAAGATTTTTGGTCTGGTTAAGTTGAGAGATCCTAGGAGAATGAGAAGCCTTACCAAACTTCCAAAGCCCTTGATTGTTTAAACTCTGCCAGCCATGCCTGCCAGATAGCCAGATCTCAAAACTGCTTTGTGGACTAGCATTAGAACTGTAGCTTTACTAAATATGTGATATTATTTCTACTAAGCTTTTAGTCATACTAATTGCATTTTATGTGAAGTATCTTGCATCATCATTAAAGTTTTGTTATTCTGTAATGTGAGCAATATACACACATTTTGGCACCACATTGTGTTATCTGGTCTTGAGAGATGCCTTGGGAACCACAACCCATAATTTATATTAATTCTGTAGCCCAAAACACTCAACTGGGATATTTAAATCTGTTGCCAAGTGGAATCTGCCTGTTCAGCTGTTTTTCTCTTAGTCAGGGAGTCACAGATGGTATCTATTTTCAATATATTATAGGAAAAGCTTGTAAAGAAGCAACAGTTAACATTTTACCAAAGCCCTTGATAGTGAAAGTGATGATCTCTCACAATTTCTGATTCAGAATTGGTACCATAGATTAAAGGTGCTTTCAGACAGAGTTCCTCATGTTACCAATCAAAAGACATTGGGACACAAATATGCACAATCAGTGAGGAAAATAAACCACCGTGACTTATTTCCCCTGCTTGATCACATGCTAGACAATTTACATAATTACTTTTCTTGGCTCAGTTTGCCATATTCTCTGAACCTGGGAGATATGGCTTGTGTGTGGGAAGCCATCCTCAAATTCCCTAACAACATGGCATGACTTATGTAAGGGTCACTTCCCTGCTCAAGCAAGCCATCCAGCAAAGATGGGATGACACAGCAAGCCACATCCCAATAGTAAGGGTAATTAGTGAAATTCAACTGGCGCCTGTGGCAAGGTAGCAAGTGACTTGTTTAGCTGGGTCATTGTTTAGTTATTCTGCTGTATCTCCATAACTGTTTTATTGTGTAATGAAACAAAGGTGAAGAAGTAGTGAGAAAACACCGCAGGCATGGACATCCACAGGAATTTTTCCAGGGGCAATGGACAAAGCTGTGCAGCATCTTGTTATAATTCCCACACAGAGTGCACACTGCTACAACACACATTGCTCTGTTTTGTTTAGCATTCCAATAAATTTATAAGCCTACACATAGTAGCAGATGTTCCTGAGAACTGAACAGCACTAATGCAGATATTCAAGAAGGATCAGGAATTCCAACAAAACTTTTTCTGGAGCAGGGGATTAAAAAATCCTACCCAGAAACAAAAAAACAAACAAAAGCTCCGAACAAATGTACCAATATTATAACTATTGGATATTTTATGGCATTACTGCTGTTATAATATTGATAGTTTTACATGATTCATCCTGGTAAGATTTCCTTCACCTTGGAAACATAGTGAATACTTTAAGAGCAGTGTCCTCGAACCTGGTGGCAGCTAGATATTTTGCTGAAACTCCTAGCCTATTAACCATGCTTTCTGGGATTGATGAGAACTGAAGTCCAAAGCATCTGGAGAACACTTGGTTAGGAAAATGGCTCTAGAGGTGGAGTGTCCAGCCTGCGGCCCAGGGGTCGCATGTGGCCCCAAAGTGCTATGAATGCGCCCAACACAAAATTGTAAACTTACTTAAAACATTATGAGATTATTTTGCCATTTTTTTTGGTAACTTGATCGCGCCATTCTCCAGTGTGTCTTTTGTAGATGACAATATTGTGTTGCAGTGTCATGTAAAATAAACGTACCTATGCTTCCTATTTGTACACATACGTGGCTTCAGTTTTATGGCAGTCTGCGGCTTCCAGTGTCTTATCTTCCAAGTGCAGTCAAATTTACACCTTCGGACATTACATGTGCTTATGGTGACTTGGTGAGTGAAACACAGCTATTATCAATACTTTTTCAACCTACTATTGCAAACAATTTTATACATTTCAACATGTTGGCTAAACACAGTCCTGTGGACAGTGAAAAATATACAACCTTGCTTTTTGATCTGATACA